AGAACTAATTTAAATTCTATTATTAAAAGCTGCACACCTGTAAGTTTGAAAGAATAATAACTTATTGTGTCACTTCCGGGAGAACATGGCAGACAGATAGCAGCAGCTACGGAGGCTCTCTGAAAGACCCAGCTTAGAATTCAGGAATGATGCGGAGTAAGGAATCATAAGCAAGTGGAGATATGCCCTGCTGACCCAAGAATGACCTGGGCTGAGAGAAACCAACTGGGAATGCAATCCTAGTGCTACAACAGGAACAGAAAAGCCTCAATGTGGAAGATGGAGCCTGCACCACTGGAGGCCGCAATTAGGGTTTCCCGCCGCCGCTGCTGCGTCTACATCGGCTCGGCAGGGAGAGAGATGCACAAAAGCTCTGAGAACGGGAATCTGTGAACGGAGTTGAAAGCAGGACGGGCGGGGAGCTGTGCACTGACCTGCAGTGAGTGAGAGAAACTGGGACTCTTCCACGGTCTAGGAGACTCCAACAGAGGACATTCTGGGACCAGGCAGGTTTGCGGGAACAGGGTGCTACAGTGACTTCAGTCACGTATCCCCCTCTCAAGCGGGATTGGTGAGCAGTGCCTAGCCTACGTGATGCTGCTGGCTGAGACCCAGTAGGCTAGCACAACCTAAGTCCCAGCGCCTAAAGGTAGATTGACCTGGAGGGGCGGGCCCCACATAGGCTGCCTGGTCTGCAACTTCCTGGTGTACTGCGGTGGGCGGGAACACCTAGCCAGCGCAATTCAATCAGACTGTGGCTGACAGGGAAGGAAGCTTGGCCTCTTATATACACTTGCATATATAAGGAACAAAGAATATGGGAGGAGGCAGCAACAAGAAAGGCTCCTCAGCCCCCAATCCTGAGAAAGAGGCAATAGCAGACACAGCACCAATAGATATAAAGCAATATCTCCAGAGCCTCATAGACAAGTTCAGGAATGAAGTTATTAATGACCTGAAGCTAGACATAAGCAGAATAGTTACAGAAATGCTAAGCACCACCCAAGAAAAAACAGATGGTGGAATGGAAAAACAGAAAAAGAGGGGAGAATTGTTTGATGGAGAAAATAGAGAAAGCATAGAATACATGAAGCAGGTTCAAAGAGATTACCAGGAAACTAAAAACTCTATCAAAAACTGGCATAACAGGTTGAAAGAAACTAAGGATAGACTATCTGAAATGGAGGGCAGATTTGTAATATGGGAGCATGAAATGAAAAACTTCTTAAAAATAACAAAGAAACAAACAGCAATAATACAAAGGCTAGGAGATGATAAGAGGATCTATAACTTAAGAATTAAGAACATAAAAGAAGAAGTAGGGACACAAACAAGTGAACTACAAAAGCTACTCACAGAAATAATCCAGGAGAATTTTCCTAATTTAGCAAAAGGTAAAGATACTCAGTTGTATGAAGCACACAGGACCCCAGCCACCTACAACCCAAACAGAGCAACACCCAGGCATATAATAAGTAAAATTCCAGAAATCCAATACAAGAACAGAATACTAAAAGCCGTCAGAGACAAGAAACAAATCACTTACAAGGGAACACTCATCAGAATTACAGCAGACTTCTCAGCACAAACCATCAAATCATGAAGAGCATGGGGGGAAATAATTCAAGCTTCGAAAGATAATAATCTCCAGCCAAGATTGATATATCCTACACAACTATCTCTGGAAATTGATGGAAAAACAAGGTGCTTCCAGGATAAAGAGGAACTAGGGGAATATGCAACCACCAATTCAACTCTACAGAGAATAATGCAGGATACTCTAAAAAAGAAAAGCATGAAGAATCCAGAAATAGTGGCAGAGAGGCCACAATGAATGGAGCAGAAAACAAAATTAAGAAGACAAACTGACAACTAATGACAGAAAAAGAGGTCAACAGAAATGAGGCAGAGAAGACTCTATGATAGGAACAGCTATTTTGGAGAAAATGACGTCTTAATAGGTAATACTGATTTAGTATCATCTTGTTTTGAAGTCTCATCAAGCTTTTGTTCTTCTGTCTCCACAGGTCTAAACAGGTTGTATCTTATGAGATTTTATTATATATGATAGTATAAGCAAAAACTTTTATAGACAAGATTATACAGAAACCATTGTTCATTTTCTGTTAGTTGATTCTAGATACCCTGTAATACTGTCATTCTCTTAAATGGTTTTACATTGTTTTGATATATTTAATGCTATAGTATACGAAGTTATACTCAAAGATTTCAAGGAAAGAGACAATATGGTAACTAGTTTTATGTCAGGATTATCTTGTGGTGAAACACTATTTTGCTTAAATGGTTATGTTTTGATCTGTGCTGTTTTGCTGTTATGCCCTCTTTTATCTCAATCTCCATTTTATTATTTACTTTTTTATTTTTATCCTTTTAAGGGAAAATGTTGGGAGCCACAGCACCACTAGGTCACCCTGAGTGACGGTCGCGAGGCCCGTAGGAAAGAGCAAAGCCTGAGATTACCCCTCCCATCGAGCACGCCGAGATGGCGCCTATTTCCTGCTTCCTGATCTGTATCTCTGCATTAAGCACCTGCTCAGCAGAATAGTCTACCTAGTCACCAGTGACGCTAGCCAATCAGCTCGCCCGAACTGCTTCGATATGATTGGAGGTTGTATCGGTATATAAGCCAGTGCCTCCACCCTGCGAGTGAGAAGCACGGAAGGAGCCGCGGGGAGCGGACCAACAGAGGCTTCGGCCGGGAGGATTCCCGGGGCAGAGTGTGAAAGGGAGAGAAAATAAAAGCGCCTTGCCACTGCCAGATCCTGTCGTGTGTTTTCCTGCCGGCCGGGAGCGACACCGACATCTGGTGGCCCGTACGGGGACCTGATCAGCCCTGAGACGAGGCAGTGGACGACGTTCTCTGACGCAGAGCTGCAGGACAGGTGAGTAGAGGATAAACCTGGGCCCTGGGTGGCGCGCACCTACAGGGTTTGTAGACTCCTCTCAGGCTCACGCGTAAGTGGCGGATTTTTGGGCCTCACGCGGTGAGTAACATATTAAATATGGGTAACGTACTGAGTAACGACACCCAGCCCTTGGTACAGGTCCTCCGGAAGCTCTTAAAGTCCAGAGACCTCAAGGTAGGACGCAAAACGCTGGAGAGCTTTTTTGAGGAGATTGATAGTTTCGCTCCCTGGTTCTTGCCCACAGGGCACTTAAGCCTGCCCTCGTGGGAGAAGTTGGGCAGGGATCTTTCTCTAGCGGAAAGGGAGGGCAGGGCTTCGGTCTTCGCTCGGCCACTGTGGGAAATGATATATGCATGCTTGAAGAGCGAGGCTGGTTGCAGGGAAGGCTCTCAAGAGCTCATTAAAGTGCGTAGGGCATTCGAACAGGCCCAGTCAGGGAGCTCCCGGGAGGGGTCCGTCAAGGGGGACAAAGATATAAAGGAGGAAGACGGGGCTCAGGCCTCGGAGTCGTCTGACTCCGAGAACGAGGAAGGCTTAGACAACGATGAGACCAAGGAGCCTAGATGCCAAGAGGATAGGCCGCTCGATAAGGAGTCGCAGGGTTCTTTCGCAGCATTGCGCCGCGAATTGCGCTCCACTCAACTTGGTCTGCGGAGGAGTAGAGAGCTCCTGAGCGCCCCCTGGCGGGAGAGGGAGGCGAAGCCTTCCGCCCCGCCTTGGGGGCTGTTCCCGGAAGCGATCCCTCGCCACGAGGCGGCCGCGTGGGAGCTCCCTCCCCTTTCGCCAGAACAGGAAGTGATGCACAGGCCGCCATTTTCCGCCCAATCACGGCCGCCGTCTTATGATGCTCCGCCGCCGGCGGGTCGGTATTTTTACAGGCGGCTTTGGCAGGGGGGACGTTTGTCTCATGAGGTACATCCACTACCTGGGATAGATAGTGGCCCCTATGGGATATTTCCTGTACAAATAGCTATGGGCCAGGGACGTAATGCATGGGAGCCTTTTGAGATAAAGCAGATTAGAGAACTTAAAAATGCAGTTACAACCTTTGGGCCGACTGCGCCTTACACCATTGCCATGCTGGAGAACCTGTCTTCTGGGCCCCTTACCCCTGCAGATTGGGTTCAGCTGGCGAAGGCTTGTCTGCCCTCAGGTAGTTACCTGGATTGGCGAGCCTGGTACGCCGAGTTCTCTGCCGAGCAGGCTGAGAGAAACGCCAATCGGGGAAACCAGGGGTGGAACAAGGAAATGCTTATGGGAGAAGGTCAGCACGCTGATGATCAGACTCAGTTCCCCGGCGCTGTCTATGAACAAATCAATGCCATAGGGCTCCGCGCCTGGAAGCAGGTAAGTGGTGCCGGAACAGCCTCCCTGTGTCTTTCAAAAATAATTCAGGGTACCACAGAGCCATTTGTTGACTTTGTGGCCCGAATGCAAGATGCTGCCGATAAAATATTTTCTGATCCGGGAGTGGCTCGACCGCTGGTAAGGCAGCTGATTTTCGAGCAATGCACAAAGGAGTGCAAGGCAGCGATAGCCCCTCATAAGAACAAGGACCTCAACACCTGGATTAGGATATGCAGAGAGATAGGGGGGCCGCTCTCCAACTCGGGAGTGGCTGCTCTCCTGGCCGCGGCTGTACAGCAGAGGGGACCTCGCGGGTCAGGAGGGGAACGCAAGGCCAGAGGGTGTTTTGCCTGCGGGGAACCAGGACACATTAAGCGTGACTGCCCAAACAACGCAGACGCCAGGCCTCGCCCTAAAAACGAAGAACCACATAACGTTTGCGGGCGATGCAGAAAAGGGCCACACAAAGCTGAGGAGTGCAGGTCGGTTTATGATGCCCAGGGTAACCGCATCTGCGGGCGAGACACTAGTGAGCAAAAAAACAGCCAGAGGGGGCCCTCCTTACAGGCGGGCCCCCGCCCCAGAGACAGGACAGTGCAGGATGGCAGCCTTTAACAAGGGCCACCCCTGGGTCAGCCGGTGTGGACCTCTGTGTCGCCTCCAGACTCATATTAGCGCCTGACATGGGTGTTCAAGTGGTTGAAACCACCTTTAAGGGACCGTTACCTGAAAATTCCGTGGGTCTGGTGATCGGGAGATCCTCCACGGCCCTTCGGGGTCTCACGGTGGTCCCAGGGGTCATTGACTCGGATTACACGGGAAATATCAAAATCATGGTCCAATCTCTTGTAGGCACAATGGTAATTAATGAGGGAGATAAGATAGCACAGCTCCTGCTGCTTCCCAGTCTCCATAAGAGATTCCCTTCAAAACAAAAGACTAGGGATAGTCAGAATTTTGGCTCCTCAGGAGAAGTCTTCGAAGGACTGCATATGACACTTGATAAAAGGCCTATGCTCTCACTTAAGATTAATGGTAGGAATATAACAGGACTCTTGGACACAGGAGCTGACCGCTCCATTATCTCCAGAAAGGATTGGCCTTCCAACTGGCCCACCAACACTGCAGATAACACGCTCCAAGGTCTGGGGATGGTGTCAGCCCCCCAGGTTAGCGCCTCAACCCTTCTCTGGTGCGATGAGGAGGGTCATCAGGGCCATTTCCAACCATTTGTGTTGCAGTTGCCAGTGTCTCTATGGGGAAGGGACATCCTCACTCAGATGGATGTCACACTTACGTCAAACTGCTCCCCCCAGGCTAAGGATATACTCAGGAACCAGGGATATACCCCCGGCAAAGGCTTGGGCAATGCCCTACAGGGTCGGACATCCCCAATACCAGTAGAGAACAGAAAAGGTAGGCAAGGGCTGGGTTTTTCTTAGGGGCCGCTGAAGAAGCTCTCCTACCCACTTCGATCAAAATCATCTGGAAATCAAATGATCCGGTTTGGGTACCTCAGTGGCCCCTGCCTAAGGAGAAGCTATTAGCCTTGTCAGAAATAGTCAGTACACAACTTAGATTAGGACACATTAAGCCGTCGACCTCCCCATGGAACACCCCCATTTTTATAATTAAGAAAAAGTCTGGCAAGTGGAGGCTGCTCCATGATCTAAGGGCGGTCAACGCGCAGATGCAGTCCCTGGGGGCGGTCCAGAGGGGGCTGCCAGCTCTCTCAGCCATCCCTCAGTCTTGGCCGATTTATGTTATAGATCTTAGAGACTGTTTCTTCTCAATCCCCCTGCATCCAGAGGACACCCATAGGTTCGCCTTTACTTTACCCACCATTAACCAAGAAAGCCCTGATCTCAGATACGAGTGGATAACGCTGCCCCAAGGTATGGCCAACAGTCCCACTATGTGTCAGATTTACCTTGATTCCCTACTGGCCCCCCTACGGAAATCCTTTCCCAAGATAAGATGTGTGCATTACATGGACGACCTTTTGCTCAGCGGCAGGGACCCAGACATGCTAAATAATATGCTCGGCCAGGTGGTCGAGGCCCTGAGACAAGCCAATCTGCATGTTGCCCCCGACAAGATTCAGGGAGGAGAAATGGTGACCTACTTAGGCGCGAGAATCTCCCCTATGCTAGTCTCTCCGCAGAAGGTCACCATTAGGACGGATGGCGTTACGACCCTAAATGACATGCAAAAGCTATTGGGAGACATTAATTGGATTAGGCCATATTTACATATACCAAATTCAGATCTCAAACCCCTGTTCGACCTTCTGAAGGGAGACCCAGATATAGCCTCCCACAGGAAGCTCACTCCTGAGGCAAGAGCTGCCTTACAGAGAGTAGAGGAAGCCTTAGGTGGGGCTACCTTACACAGAATTGAACCAGGGCGACCCTTTGACGTCTGTTTGCTACAGACTAGTCTACAGCCCACAGCGGTGATTTGGCAGAAAAGACCACTCCTGTGGATACACCCTAAGGTCTCACCTGCAAAAGTCATAGAACATTACCCGGAGGCAGTCGCTTCATTGGCCCTTGAAGCGCATGATAGAGCTGTCCAACATTTTGGCTCAGGACCACAAACCATCCGAGTACCCTATACCGCCAGCCAGATCAAGACCCTGGCTGCCTGCATAGATACTTGGGCCATTTTGAGATGTGTTTTCCATGGGGATATAGACAATCAATACCCTAAGGACCCTATCTTGTCATTTGTTACTCAGCACCCTGTAATTTTTCCAAAGGTTACTGCCTCTGAGCCATTAGTCCCAGCAACTACAATATATACAGATGGCTCCAAGACGGGGATAGGCGCCTATGTGATCCTAGGCAAGCCCCCGGTTACCATACAATTTGAACCAGATCAGCCTCAGGTGGTGGAACTGCAGATCGTTAAAATGATTCTTGAAAGGTTCTCAGGAGCCATTAACATTGTCTCCGATTCTAGGTATGTGGTCAATGCTATGCAAGTGCTTGAGACTGCCGGTTTAATTAGATCCACTTCCACAGTGGCTGGGCTGTTCCTGTCTATCCAGACATTGCTTCAGAACAGACACCATAAGGTCTTCACCACCCACATAAGAGCACATACATCCCTGCCAGGGCCTATGGCACAGGGGAATGCGGCTGCTGACACTGCCACTCGCCCGTTATGGATTTTTACCTTACTAACACCAATCGAGCGAGCCCGTGCCTTCCATGATAAGTTTCATGTCAATGCCAGGACACTAGCAAACCATTTCCATGTTCCCAGAGCAGATGCACGAGATATCGTGCGACTATGTGGCTCCTGTGCCACATACAAACCTGCCATACCGATGGGAGTAAACCCTGGAGGTTTGATCCCTGGTGATGTTTGGCAGATGGACATCACACATATACAGGAGTTTGGGACTCTTAAATATGTTCATGTTTCCACAGACACCTGTTCTCACGTCATATTTGCAACAGCAGAAACAGGTGAAAAAGTGTCTAATGTGATCAATCATTGCCTGGCGGCTTGGGCCGCATGGGGCAAACCAAAAATATTAAAGACTGATAATGGACCAGCCTATATAGGCAAAGCCTTCAATGAGTTCTGCAAAATGATGGAGGTTCAATTAAAACATGGTATCCCATACAATCCCCAAGGTCAAGGAATCATCGAAAGAGCCCATAGAAGTCTCAAAGCAATTCTAGCTAAACAAAAAGGGGGAGTAGGCCAAGGCCTGGCCCCAAAGGCACGATTATCCATGGCACTATTCACACACAATTTTTTAAATTTAAATAATGATAATTGCTCCCCAGCTATGGAGCACTGCAACCCTTCCCTCAACCATAAAGGGTGGGTGAAGTGGAAAGATGTCCTGACAGGACAATGGATGGGCCCGGATCCAGTGGTCAGCTGGAACTGAGGTGCGGTTTGTGTCTTCCCACAGGAACCGGGACGAGAACCACTGTGGGTACCAGAGAGGCTGACACGGGCGACAAAGCCCTCGACTGAAGATCAGACCTGCCCTACCTATCCATCACAGACCAACCAACAAGATGAATAGAAATAGGGCTGCCCCCCTCCATGGGATAGCTACCCTAATCCTCCTTAGGATTGGTATGGTATATGCTGGCCTGGGAAGTCCCGTGTCTAAGGGGGACCTGAGGCAGAGTTTGTTTGGCAGCCCTTGTGATTGCAAGGGTGGCATAGTCTCCCCCGCTCCAACCACATACACGTCATCGGTCTAGACCTACTAACTGTGGAAAAGGGGGGTATCTGTGTTGCCTTGCAGGAAAGATGCTACTTCTACGCAAACAAATCCGGAGTCGTGCGAGATCGGCTGAAAAAGCTGCAAGAAGACTTAGAAAAGAGAAGAAAGGAGTTACAAGATAATCCCTTCTGGGGGGCCTGGAACGGCCTGCTTCCCTATGTTCTGCCACTGCTAGGCCCGCTATGCTCCTTGGTCCTGCTCTTACTTATAGGCCCGTGCGTGCTTCGATGGGTCCCATCCTTTGTTAATAATCGCCTTGCGGCGGCCCGACATCAGGTCCGCCTGGTTGCCCATGCGGCTCTAGCGGTAGCCCGAAATGGACAAGAAGATCCTCAGGCATATGCATGGCTCGCTCGCCTAGCCTACGACCGAGTCTAGGGGCGGTGAGCTTCCCACACTCCTCCTCTAAAAAATTATGACATAGCTGGGTAGGAGAGTCAATGACGGGTAAGAGCGTACTCCCCCGGTGCGACTCAACCTAAGCCAGGCCCTACCCCATCCTGCACGTAAGCCGCTGGACTGTTAGATGCTGCCCAGGTCTAAATTTCTCTCCGAGGGGATTTCTTTACAGAGAAGAAATGAGTGCAAGCTTGTGTGCATCCAGGTTCCGTCCAGTTTGTGCCTGGCCCTAGAAAAAGGACGAGGGCCTCAGGGCCTTGGCAGACCATGGGACGGCCGACCAGGGTCTAAGCCAAGGACCTACGGTGGGCCTCCGCATAGGGCATAAGCCTCTGCACCCAGTCCAGGAAGGGCTACGATGCGCACATTCATAAAAAATAAAAAAGGGGGAGACGTTGGGAGCCACAGCACCACTAGGTCACCCTGAGTGACGGTCGCGAGGCCCGTAGGAAAGAGCAAAGCCTGAGATTACCCCTCCCATCGAGCACGCCGAGATGGCGCCTATTTCCTGCTTCCTGATCTGTATCTCTGCATTAAGCGCCTGCTCAGCAGAATAGTCTACCTAGTCACCAGTGACGCTAGCCAATCAGCTCGCCCGAACTGCTTCGATATGATTGGAGGTTGTATCGGTATATAAGCCAGTGCCTCCACCCTGCGAGTGAGAAGCACGGAAGGAGCCGCGGGGAGCGGACCAACAGAGGCTTCGGCCGGGAGGATTCCTGGGGCAGACTGTGAAAGGGAGAGAAAATAAAAGCGCCTTGCCACTGCCAGATCCTGTCGTGTGTTTTTCCTGCCGGCCGGGAGCGACACCGACAGGAAAAATAAATAAAAAAATAGCAGGATATATTATAGTAACTCACTTTAACTTTCCATTATCTTGATTTAAAGCCCTGTATTGCTCTCACCATCTTGTTTTGACTGATGTCCCTCTATTCTGTTTTGCAAAGTACCAGGTTCAAAAGTTTAGGCAACAACTGTGAATATAGTGGGATTCATTATGACGCCCATTCTGGTTGACTATTATCTACTCGTCTTTTCTTTCTTTCTTTCTTTCTTTTTTTTTTTTTTTTTTGGTCTTTTTCCTTTTTACTGGTACCAGGGATCGAACTCACGACTGCCTGCTTGCAAGGGAGGTGCTTATGCCGCTGAACTAAATCCCCAGCCCCTATTATCTACTTTTGAAGACCTGTAATGTCTCCAATGTTTTCGTTTTGTTGGTTTCATTCTTTACTGTTTTGTTCAATTTTATTATAACTGATGATATAGGCAATTCTTTTTGCGATAGCGGGAGGCATTATGGTAACCATTATTGATCACCTTGTATTATGTTTTTACATTATCTATTATGTCCACCCTTTTGATTTGACTGATTCTGTTCTGTTATGTCACATTTGGTCCTACTCTCTTCCAAAAAAGTAATAAGAACTGTGGGAGCAACAAAACCCAAAATGTGTAATTGTCATTGTACAAAAGAGAGGAAAAGAAAGTGCTCTAAACAATATAACTGCATGTATATTTAAGTGTATAAGATAGACAATGATATTACTGAGTTTTGTTGGATCATTGAACAGAACTGTTTGCAGTCTCACTGTTGAAATGACCACTTTATAAGCTTTAATTTGTAACTTGAACAATTATTTCTAAGATGACAATATGTAATCCATTATTAGTGATTTCCTACTATTTTTTTCTGTAAATCTGTATAACTTGTACCCTTTCTCTGCTTTTTTTCTTTTTCTCCTTAAATAAAATTAAAAAAAAAACTTATTGTGACATTACACTCCAATGAACAATACCTAAGACAAAAACAGTTCACAGCAAGTACAGTTCTACCAGAACTTCACGTATGTAAAATTCTACTTCTCTAAAATGTTATAAAACACACATACACACTTATATACTATGTAAATCAGATTATTAATTATGAGAAAAGAAAGAAGCCATTTGTGTTATCAGTGTGTCTTTTTCCCCTTTTTTTTCTCCCATTGCCGTAGGTCGCACTTATTGCTTTGCATATAACATTGATCAATTTCTAGTTATACTCACTTGGAAGATATTTAAGATGGATTTTAAAACCTTTATTATGTTAAAAGAGAATCACAGGAAAATACACAGATGTAGATTAGCAGGGATGGTGCAAACATGGCACTGCACTGCACATAAATAGTTTGGTCATTAATTTGTGTGCAGGCTCACTTGCAAAACAGTAAATTAGGTGTGATCTGTCCAGGTGCCCTTATTATTTCTTCCTTTCTCCATGTACTGCTTCTTGTTTTACTCAGAATTAAGAACCTATTTTTCATATGAGTGTATATGTTTTTATGTTTATTAGTGTATATTTGTTGTACATAATGATTACATCCATCATGAATATATATAAACAGAGAGAGAGAGACAGAGACAGAGAAAACTTTTCATACTTGTCTACAAAAAGATCTATATTGAGCTACATTTATTTTATATGCCCTTCCCTGGTAAAAGTCTTTATCTTTTTCTTCTGTCCATCTTTCTATGAAGGAAACATGCAATGGGGAAAAAAAAAAAAGCAGCAAAGACGAAGAACTGCTCGTTTATACAACTACCTGTATTTTAAAGTATGAGACTGCCCCCCCCACTCTCCCTGAATTAATATCACCAATATGAGAAGCTATACCATATGTCCCTAGGTAGAATCAAGACTGGTCATTGTGAATGATTTTCTTTACTTTAGTAAAATGCTTGCTCTGGGGAGGGATCCAGAAAGTATATGATAACTGACATTAAATAATTCACTGGCATAAAATTTGCACAAATATCCATATACTGGTAATACCCTACAGGAAAATTGGATCAAGATACAGAGAATGTAAGAATTACTTTGGAGGGAAAAATTCTACTTTCAAATAGACATTAAAGAACGAAAAGAGAAGTCAAAACGAAATTATCAGAAACCACAGAGCATTAACAAGTAGCAAATGCATGAATATTCCAATCCTTTTAAAAGATCAGGGGGCTTGGTCAAGGATATAGCTCAGCTGCACAAGCATCTGCCTGGCAAGCTCACTAGGCATCAGTTAGATCCCCAGTACCAAAAAAGAATAATAATAAAAATAATAAAATGACTCAGAGGCTCAAAAAAATGGACAAAATATTTTAAGAGGTTGCACCTATTATTTTAGTTTCACATAACACAGTATCTTAATACTTGAAGTCTGGAATAGAACAAATTAAAATAAATTAGTATAAATAGGTTTGTTTTAGAATTAGAGGACTTTATGGCCCGAAGGAATCAAGCAGCCACACACCCCAGCCTTGCTTCTTCTAAATTGTGGTGTTCATGATTCTCAGTTACAAAAGTGGTAATACTATCTACTGCACATAGATGTGGGTTAAAGTGTGTAGTTTAAACAAGATCAAGGACAGATGTTCAGAAAATGGCAACTATTGTCATCTCTGTTATCCATCCAACTATCCAGCATCCATCTTCTACCCTCCTTTAAAGAAATCCAGATTCAGATTGTATTTGCCAGAACAGTGAATAATCCAGGTCTCCCAAGTTCCAGCTCACTCTTATTCCACCACCTCATCCAATTGTACTCCTAAATTGAAAAAAAGAACTTGTGTTTAAATTACTACAAGATTTGAGAAAGAGTATGTGTAAACACTTAAGTTTAAAAAAATTGATCTTCTTGTTGCTTTTAATATAAAATATTTTTAAAAGTATTCTTTTTTTTTTTTTTTTTTTTTGTCTTTTTCCTTGTATCTCTTGAATTCACTCAACCTGAAAAAAGGAAAAGCCGTTGTGTCAATCAATGGCTTTAAGGACAATCTGAGGCCTGCGAAGCGAGCCGCAGTTGCTTCCTCTCAGCGCAGTGGTACCGACTCTGCTGCTAACTACTGAGGATCTACTCAAAGCCAGGTGCACAGGATGCTTCCAGGAGCAACTGCGGTCGGTTTCGTTCCCTGCCAGGATACAGGATTCAAAAAGCGTTCACCGTCGGTGCAGTTACCAAGAAAAGGGCGTCTCGCGAGAAACCACAAAACCCTTTTCTCTAACGTGTGGGGCGCCGAGAAACTACGGAACGGGTCTCGGCGTGGGGGCCGTCCGCGGAGCGGCGCACAGCTGCCCCTGGCGCGAGGGGCCGGGAAAGGGCTCCGCGAGGCCCAGCAATCCCCGAGACGTGCGGAGCGGGGTCGCGGGCGCTGCGGCGGCGAATGCAGGCCGCACCAGCGAACGCCCGCGGGTCCGCGGCCCGGGAGTCAGGACGGCCAGTAACCGCCCTGCCCGCTCCCAGACTGGCTTCCCTCCACCCGAAACCGACCACGCCGCTCACCTCCCAGGGCACCTTCTCACCGAGTTCTCTGGGGTTCCCCGTCGCCGCCCCCAGGGAGGCAGCAGCCGAGCGCACCCGACCGAGTCCGACGGAGTTCGCCACAGCGCCGCCCCCGGCATGGAGGCTGCAGCGCAGCAGCAAGTGGTTGATTGAAAGGCCCGCTCTCCTGCAAACTGCCGCTTCCCTGGGCGTCTCAGGGCCATAGTGTGCAAAGGACTCTTGCTTTCTTTTCCTTTTGATCTTTGGTTTTCACCTCCCAGCTGCAAATAACCTTTCAGTTTTGCGTCTGTTTTGTGAAAATAAAAGAGACATCACCAAGAGATAAATACTTATTTTAAAGGAATTGGAAAATGTCCTGATCAGGAAAAGAAGCTCAGTTCTGGATTCCATCCTGACTTTAGAGGCAGGGTGATTTAAGAGTACAGTGAATCCCCTGCCGTTCTGTTAGGGCCCTGAGATTCTAAGGCACAATATGTATGAAGCTATGGTTAAAACAACAGGTATGGATGCTGGTTTTTACACATTGTTGATATTTAAGTTTGTTGGGATACAAGTTACATTGAAACAAAACACAATAGCAAATATCCAATTTTTGGTAAATGTATTTTGAATTTAAAACGTGTTCTTTCAAGTAAAATTAAATTTATATTTAAGGTGTGTGTATGTATGTGCACGCGCATGTGCACAAGAACGCACACGTATGCATGTTACTAGGATTTGATCCTGGGGCCTTCAGCTACACCCTACATACACAGCTCCCTTCACCCTCTCACCCTATTTTTTTGAGACAAGATATGGTGAAATTTCTCAAGCCAGCCTCTAGCTCAGTATCCTTATGCCTCAATCACCTTAAGAGCCAAGATTACAAGCATGTGACACCATGTCTCATTGATTTGAGGTTTACGTTTTAAACGTTCACTGACATCTGGTATTGCTAGGCAATCTTCAAACAAAATAAGGTGAATTTCTGTGAAAATCTATTTGCCCCAAAGTTAAGAGCAACTTTAGGGCTACAAAACATTGGTTTAATTGTAAACAGACCCAAACTTTCTCTTTATCCCTCTTTGCTAATCTGTATTTTGCCAAACAGTATGGAAACAAAAGTATCTTTATTGTTGTGATCAATCCAAAATGATTAGATAAAAAAGAATAAAATATGAGAACCTATAAGAAAAGAGCACAAGCTGTAGGTAAAGACAACAGAGAAAAACCAACAGCTCCTTATCAATTTCAGGAATGTGAATTCAATGTAAATATGTATTTTATGATATTGCCAAAGAATTACTTTGAAGAGTAATGTCTATCTATATGCTTTTATATTCTTCATTTTGAACAGTACCATTGATGTTTATTTGAGAGATTTTATATTTAATGGGATTGCATAAAGCATAAGTTCATCTTTGTAAAAATACATTCAAATTTATAAAACTATTTTCATTGATTCCTAAAGTATGCTCTGGCAGTGACTCTAGTAGTCAGGATATCATCTCAGAGATCTCTGATCTTTTCTCAAGCAAAAATAGTTTATCTAGATTTAGTAAAAATCATTCCTTCTTGGTGTTTTGTCAAAGGCAGATTTTTAAAAAATAACATAAATATTTTTTTAACCCAGTAGAAAGCCACCCCAAAGGAGATGATATAATTAATGTGGGCCAAGGATATCTGACTCTCTCCAATGAATTATAGTTGACAACTGTAAAAATTAAGCATGTTGCAGTAGTTCATGAAAGTAGCCCCAATTCTTTACCCCTCCCTTTTGTCTACATCCTGAACAGTGCCTTCCTGTTCTGATTCTGGGTTGGTGCGTAGCTAATATGATAGTAACAAATCACTGATGATGCAAAAGATGCCGGAAAAGTGTTGGTAAATATGCTCCATAAGCCCAGTGGAGATGAAAAATGGGTAGAGCAAAGCAAAGGTCCTATTGCTTAAGTCTCTGACTCTGTAGGCTTGGGGCAGAGCCCGGGAATTTTCATTTTTATCAAGTTCTCAGGTAACGCTGGTGTTCCTGTTCCTCAAACTGCATGTTGAAACACACTGACCAACATGGTAGTGCAGTTTCATTTCTTCTCCATTTGCCAAATAAGACACTATGACTTTCTATTAAATAATTTCCTCTTTGAGGAGAGGAATGGGTAATACTTAACTCCTCATAAGAAAAGTATGAAAATGTAAATTTTTGTCCCAATAAAACAGATAAATCATTTCTAACTGTTGAAATTTAAATATAAATGGTATTAATAAAAAATCTTGATGGATAATAATCAATGCAAAGACAAATGAGAGAAACCATTTTATTTAGGTTTAATGATATCCTGAGAATGTTTATCAAAACTCAAAAAAATTCAGAAATTTTAGGAAAATCTATTCTACTTATGTTTAACTTCATACTTTTAGGGCACAACGCAAGTAATTGAGCTAAAGAGATGCATAAAATTACGTGAAAATACAATACATAATTAGTCCTCTCAGAGTGTTCTATTACTCCTGATGGAAAATGGAAAAGCTGCATGTTCAAACAACCAAGGCTATTCTTTTGATTATTTTCTATTTTGTCCATTTTCTTATTCTATTCTTCTCATTTCAAAACATATAGCACCTTCCTCAAGTCATTTAGAAATGATTACGTGACAGATGACATATGGGGTAAAGTTGTTGAAAAATTACAGTAAGTGCATCTTATTCACATCAAAGCTGTGAGTAAATTTGATGACAAAATAAGTGCTTTTGTGCTAAATTAAGGTAATGTGATGTTAGCCTAAGGGCTTTTCTTGATCAGTGACTGCAGTTGTTAAAAAGTTATAGTGTATATGACATTGGAACCTCTACACATATGTTATGTAAATAATATAGAACTGTGTGCCTTTTAAACTTTGGAGAACCTTATTTTGTTAAGATGTTAAAGGAATAAAATTGCTGGCAAAGTACTTGTGCTTGTGAAACATTTAAGGTTAAAAGGCTGGAACGTCCACAGGAGGACGATCTTACAAGACTTTCAGGTTTTCTTAGCAAGATATGGCACTCTCTCAGCTTGCCAAGCTTCTATCATCTTCTCCAAGACAGTGGGAATGCCCTGCTTCCCTTTCAGCCATACTTCATGAGTAAAATAATTTGCGTGTTTTCTTCCAAAAGGAAGTAGAAGTTGGATAGGCATGCGGTTAAAAAAAAAAAGCTCTACCATTGGTCCATGAACACTTGATGAAATAAGACAATGGCAGAGGTGTTTTATAATGGAAAGCAAGTCAATCAAAACAAAAAAGATGACAGAATTATGTAATTGTGAGGAATCTTTTCCTTTTGTTTACATTTTCTTTGAAATTGTTGAATTTATTTTCAGTAATAATTATTTAAGATAGAAAATGGTGCTAGAATATAGGTCTTTATCTTGTCCACCTGTACTTTTTTTAAGGAAACTTCTTGGTTAGTGAAGTGTGACATATAAGTAGAAAAATATACAAATCCTAAATGTACGTCTTGATGAATTTTGTCAAAGGAAACATATTCAGGTACCAACATCTACAAAAGGAGGTGGCACATCATCAGTATCCCAGAATTCCTTCATGCCTCTTCTTAATCAATATCCATGCCTTTCCCTATCTGTTACTATAACAAAATACCTTATAGGAGGAAAGTTTTATTTTGGATGAAATTATCAGAAGTTTCTCTCCATTGTTGGTTGTCTCCGTTGCTTTTGAGCCTGTGGCCAGGCAGAACATCATGGCAGGGAGTGTGTGGTCAAGCAAAATTGTTCACCTCTTGAGGCTGGGAAGAAAGGAGAGGAAGGGGAAATTTTTACATTCTTGTGACTAGGTCATTAAATGAACTGGTCACTATTTAGTTTGAGGAATGTATGTAGTATGCGCATTACAATATTCAGAACAAAGTTATGGTGAAAGAAACTTGATTATTTTGCTTTGCATAACTTATATGCAGTACTGTAATGTATAACAGAACAAAAATTATAGTGCTATACTGTATAGTAACAATCAGCAAAAATTATAGTACTGTACAAACAAGGTGTACCATACCAAAAAGACATTAAACCTATAAACACAATTATAGACTGTGCAAAAATTAAAGATGGGTCATAAGTTGAAGCAACAGGTTATAAGTTTGAACAGCATGCCTCATAAGTCTGAAACATTACTAAACAAGTTGGTTTCACTCCATTATAGTGAAAATGGAGATTACCTGCATCAACATAAATTTAATTGAAGAAGCTAAGAACTGAGACCACCAGTGTCAATATTACTGTTTTTGTTTCCCCAGGAATATCACGACATTATAACTGCAGATCAATAGAGTATTTTACTGTTTGCACCTTGAAAATTTTACAAACCAAGTTTACAGGCAGTTTGCTTATCTGAATAAACAACTCACGTATCAGGACAACAGTTTGCTTTTCATAAAACTCATCTCCAGATTGTCACCTCACTGTGTCCAACAGTCCTAAAATATAATGTCATGATCTTTACCCACTTCCAGTTACATCCCTACCTCAAAAGACCTCCCTATGCCTTATGAATTCCAAACCTATACTGTTCTCAATCCTTCTTTTAGAGACACTAATAAGACCATGTAAACTTTGCTTGACGAACAGATTTTTCTGATAATATTTGAGGGGGGGGGAAGGTGAACGAAGCCTTCTCTTGGTTCCAGGCCCCCTTAAAACATGTGCAGTGCTTAATTTCCTCACATGAAATGTTAAAGTACTTACATATAGTCTGCATGCATCTTTACTCATCTCCTTTTCTTTATATCATTCCCAGTTTACTTATAGTAGATAGTGCAGTGTAAACAGTTCTTATAACTTGTTGTTTAGGGTATAAAGAAAGAAGTCTGTACATGTTTAGTACAGACAAAACACTCTCAGAATATTTTGAAACCACAATTGGTTGGCTTCTCAGATGTCAAACCTATAGACCTAGAAGGATGATTGTCTATTATGCTATCTCATCAGAAACATATGAGGAGCACATGCATATATGTAGTTCAGTCTAACTACATGGACACTTTGCAATGACCATTACAAATTATTCATATTATATTTGTATTTCTGTGACGAAAACCAGGTATGTTTCTTATAAGATTGTTTTTATTTGAATATAGAATTTTAACTGTCACTTTTTTTTTACATTTTAGTAATCAAAACACAAGCTTTGTTCAAGAATATATGCTGATACACAATCAGTAAGAAAATGATAATCAAAACTAAATTGCATGGGGAGAATATAAAGGACCTTACCTCAGATGTAACTGATTATTTGTAGTTCTTATACATCACAGACTGGATAGTCACTGAAAGTGGAATTAGTGTGTGTTCAGAGAGATAGGAATCTTGTAAATACCCTCCCAAAAGTCAATTCTCACTCAGCAGTCAAACAGTGCTCTATGTAACATAGCTGCAAATTACATGTATTTTTAGCTACACTGTATTATTTTTATAGTCAATCAGTCACCATCTATTCCATATGTACAAAAATCTGTGCACCCAAAAATAACTGTGGATAATTCAGTGTTCAGGATTCAATAATGGATGCTCAAGTAAATATGAGAATTTTGAACAAATTCATATGAATGGAAAAAGATTTCCTGTGACATAATGGCATGGTGCAAGGCTGTGCATAACGAGCTCCAATTGGTCTGGAAGAACATTTTTAAAAATTAAGTTTATTGGTACATTTTAAATACATATAGAATATATATAAAGTGATAATTTCATCATAGGGACTGTGTACCTGTATGTCTTATCTCAGTTTATTTTTTCCCCTTCACTTCTGTCCTTCTTCCCTCCCTATTAGAAAAGCTTTGTTTTCTAGTTTTCTTTCTTTTCACATTTTCTCCCTTTCTTTATTTCCCCCTACCCTCCCTAGTATCCCCTGCCAATTGAGCACTTTTTTCCTATTTCATAATACCTACACATTCTGGCCCTTATTTACACTTTCAGTTTCTCACACCAAAGAAGCAATGTTGGTAGCTGTTGAAACTGGAAATTGACCACATGTGCAGGGCTACTGTATGGCTGGGGCAAGATGAGATAACAGCTGAACAGACCTGGCTCCAACTCCAATGAACTAAATAAAGGCTGTAGCCACATGGAGATCTTCTCCTAAGATAGTCTCCTAAATTAGACATAATTAGTTACTTGGCAAAGTCCTTGAACTACTCCCAGGTCTGTTCAATTTCCTGCATTTTTCACTCTAATCCTCTAAATAAATACGAGCTACCCAGAGACATCCCCTGTTTTAGCCCCCAGAGTTCCCAAATTCTGCAGAGGGTTTTGATCCTCCTGGAGTCCTAAAATCCTACCACTTATTTATTTAAGCTTTCTCTATACACTCATTTGGGAGATTGGTGATCTAGGCTAGGTCCCCGTTAAAGCAATGTGTTGTTTATACATGTGTGTTTGATTTCTTTCCTTCATTCATTTTCTTTCCTTTCTTGTTCTTGTTCTTGTTTTTGTTTTCTTGTTGTTGTTGTTGTTGTTCATCATTTTCTTCTTTCTTCTTTTTTGAGACAAGTCTCACTATGTAGCCCAGGCTGGCCTTGAACACACGATGATCCTCCTGCTTTGGCTTCCTGAATGCTTGGATTACAAGCATATGCCACCATTCCTGACCAATTTATTTAACTTAAAACTATTGTCTCAAGGTCCATCCACTTACCTATAAATGTTTCAAATTTATCCTTCTTTTTGGCTGAGTAGTACTCCATTGTATTAAACCAACACATCTTTGTCCATTCCTTGATGGGATTTGGGCTGTTTCCAAGATTTAGTTAATAAATTGCTGTGGTATGATGTTTTTAAGTGATTCAGAAAGATACCAAGAAGGGGAATAGCTGGATCAAATTGGGACTTCTACTTTTGTTTGTTTTAAGGAATCTCCACACAGCCTTCCACAGTGGTTATGTCAGTCTACATTTCCACCAACAGTGAAGAAGAGTTCCTGTTTTCCCCACAGACTCAGTCTGTTTCATTTGATTGCTGAACTGAGACTATTTATATTGATGGTTATAACTGATATGTATTGGCTTATTGGTGACATGTTACTTCCCTGTAATTGGTTCCCTGTCTTTCCCCTCTGTTTAATTGTTTGTTCTGGTAGCTTCTTTCTATTGTTGTTCTTGGAATTTTAGTTTTCATTACTTCTTTCTAAAATATCCTTTAGAAAATTTTGTACAGCTGGTTTGGTGGTCATGAATTTCTTCTGTTGTTTTTCGTCATGGAAATATCTTATTTTCTCCACTGATTTTGAAAGTTTTGCAGCATACATCAATTTGTATTAGAGATTGCTCTCCTTCAGGACCTGAAACACCTCACTCCAAGCTCTCCTTTAGGGTCGATCTGTTTCTTTTCTCTGACAGGTTTTACTATTCTGTTCTTGTGCTGAATTTCTGGAATTTTTATTTTACGCCTTGGTATAGATTTATTTTGGTCATGGCTAGTTGGCGTTTTATATGCCTCACTTATTTCTATGTCCATTTCTTTTTCTGTGTTTGGGAATTTTTTTGTCATTACTTCTGTGACCATATTTTTAATGGCATTTCTGCTTTGTCCTTGTTTTTCACTGACTCAATCAAACTTACGTTGTTCTTCTTTGCATCACCTTGTAGCTGTTGGATTGATTTTTCATGGCCCCTTGTTGTTTTTAAGAAATCTTTCTTTTCATGGTTACTAACTGCAATCCTGTCTTCTAGGTCTGATAGTCTTTCCTCACTTTCTTTCAATTGGCTTCATATACTTTTGATAGAATTTTTAATATTCTGGATATCTGTTTGAATCTTTTTAATGGATTGCATTTCTGTCATGTGTTGTGCATTCATACTTTCCATCATTTTCCTAATCTCTATTTTTTAAAGAAATCCTTGTCTACTCCAGATTTAGTGGGCAGGTCCTTCATTTTGATTATCCTTTTTTTTAATCTGAGAGATTATTTCTCATCTGATTTTCTGTATAGCCTTATTCATTTGTTCTTGTTTTTATTTTTGTTTTTAAACCTTGTGGTTCCCTGCACTTATCCTGAGTGGGCTGGAGGTCTGGGATTGCATTTTGTTTCTGCATGTTGTCATTTTCTATTTTTAAATTTTCATTTGTTTTCTGTGTTGATGCTTGTAAACTGACTTTGGTAAACAGCTTTATCACCAGTGTCAAAGCTTTCCTAGGAATTCTATAATCCTCAGATACTGTCTATACATAGCTGGCTCTTAGTCTTTGGGTCTGTTCCAAGGTTCTACTTCCTAGTTTATTAGGGGTGAATAACTGCTATGTATTTGGCTCAGCAAAATAGTAGGTGGTACTGAACGATGGTAATGGTTATGACCTTGCCAGTGTTGTCCTACAGGAAGAACAACTGATCAGAATAGGTATGACACCCTGGTTAATGCAGTGCATTTAATAGTAACAGTAGTATGAAGCACAGTCTGGAAATAACAAACTGTGGAAACTATTAATTTGGCACCTTTAACCATATGAGCAAGATCTACTGTTATATAGCAACCCCCATCATAAACCAGCAGCTTGTATGTAATGAGTTTCCCCTTAGTTGACTGATTTTACCCTCTGTGAGTGTATGGGGGGGGGTGGAGATTTAAGCAGGAACAAAGCAGAGAGATAAGTGAAGACAAATAAGCAAGTATGGAGGTGAAAGGGTGATTACCTAAGCTTTGGGAAATTAGAGAAGAGGGCAGGAGAGAAAGAATAAAAGGAGGGAGCCTGGGGTTTAGCTCAGTGGCTCAAGTGTTTGCCTGGTAAATGAAAGGTCATGAGTTCAACCTCTGGTTCAAAAAAGAAAAAAAAAAGAATGACAGAAGAAACTAAAATATTGAAGCCAACAAGAAAAATTAGAGGTAGTGTTCACTTGCTTGAAAATATCAAAAAATCAAGAAAGAAAGTTGAAGGGAGACAAGGTCAAGCAAAATAAACAATAAAAAAGATAAAAGAACAAAAAGAAAAAACACAGAAAAAGTAAAATAAAGAGAAAGGAAAATAATAAGAAATTTCCTCTGGTGTCCACAGTTTGTGGTAGTGTCTAAATCAGAGCCCAGTGTTGTAGCGTGGCATAACTGATGCCATCTTGAGCCCTGAATTTAACTAGTGCCCTATTTTCAGGAAAAGGGAATAGTACTCAGGGCACAAGCCCCATGAGAAAAGCAGAATGAGCTATACCCACAGGAGAAAAATTAACCTGCTCAAAAAAATAAGCAGGGTACAGGTATCAACCAAAAATTAATGTAAGATTCTAGATAAATTATTTCCAACAGGATGTCTTTTATGATTCTCTCTTTTAAAAACTCTGTAACTTTCTAGGTCAGTGCTACTTGCTTGGACCGACACTGGGGGTGGGGGGTGGTCTGTATATGAGTGGTCCTGAGTTCAGTTAATTAAATTCAAAATTTATCAGTTTGGCTGCGTGGATTCCTAGATTGTTGTTCACAAACCCACCTCACCCAGAGCAGTGCTGGGGAACCTCACCAAACCTCCTGTGAGGTTAGTGCTGGGTTTGGGGCTGATCTTGGCCTCTGCCTGTGGAGGGTTGGGAGCCAGAGTCTTCAGCCAGGGAGCTCGTGTTGGTCCCTTTGCAGCCGGCCTGCTCCTCATTCTCTTTGTTTCTAGTCTCTCTCCCAGTTTCTGTGGCCCTTCAGAGGGAGACAGCCCGAGGGTGCTTCTGGTCTTGCCTAGTTCGGTTGGCTCCTCCTGTCTTTGCATGGCTCCCCTGCTCCACTTCCACTGGCACAACTCTGTTCTCTCATGATGCTCATGGCAGGGCATAAATCCTTTATTTCTGTTAATTGATCAATAATTACTTTTTTATTCCTTTGAAAGTAAGACCTTTTTTCCATTACTGTGAATTGAACCCGGGACTTTTATACTGAGCCACATCTTTAGCCTTTTTTGTTTTTCAGCTTGAGACCGTCTTGCTAAGTTGCCCAGGCTAGACTCAAACTTGGGATCCTTCTGCCTCCTTTTATTTGATTACTTTTGAGACTTTTTCTTGTCTTTTGTTTTTAGTACCTTTACTATCATATGCTAAATGTTTTTTTCTTTGTATTAATCATGCTTTGAAACCATAGGGCTTCTTGAATTTGTGTCTTGATAACTTTCATATAGTTTAGAAAATTCTTGACAATAATCAAATATTACTTCTTCCATTTTCTGATACCTACTTTTGGGACTTTTAATTATTCACATAATAAATATTATATTTAATTATGCACATGTTTTGTTATGTTCCCAATAGCTCTAATTTTTTTTCTTTCTCTCTCAAAGAATGCTTTTCATCTCCTTTTATCGTTCAGATTTTTAATCTGGCTATTACCCATTCATTGTAGTTTCTTTAACATGTCTGTTGTTAAAGGTACTTATTCCATTCTTAGTTTTAGTTTTTGGACATAAATAGAATTTGTAATTGATTTTGTGATGTACTCTAATGTTCTGATGAACGTTTCTTGCCATTTCTTCTCAAACACATGAATAACTTTTAAAGTTTGTGTTTATTAACGTATCTAGATACTTATACGTCTGTTTCTATGTTTTTTAATCTAATATTTTGACATGCCTAGTAATTCTTGATTAAATGCATGAAATTATCAATTAAACACTGTAGACATTGTAGATATTGCTGAGGTTTTTTTTCTTGAGAAGTGTTTGGTTTTGTTTTAGTTTCTGAGTAGAAGCATGTCACAATGTTCATCTAATAAGGAATCAATCACATTTAGAGTTTGTGTTCAGGTGTTTTTGTTTTTTATTTGGGGTTTTTTGCTTGTTTGTTTGTAAGTCAGAATATTGCTTTGCATCCCAGGTAGAAACTGAACTCATTGTGTAGTCCAGGCTGGCCTCAAAATTGTGATCCTCTTGCCTCAGCCTCCAAAGTGATGGCATTACAGGTACACACCATCATACTTGACTGCTCAGGTTTTTTGAGTCTGGTCTGCTTCCTATTTTTCCATACTGAAAGTCTGGGCTGTATTCCAAGACCTCTGCACCTTGGATAACCGTAAGGTCCAGTTTTAACTCACTAGCACCAGCATACATCATTAGCTCTGTCTAGGTCTCAGCCTGGTAGGTACTCTCCCTCCTTTCAATTCTCCTGTGCTTGAGTTGTCCGGCATCCATACTAGTGAGTAACTAAGGGAGCAGTCTGGTTACATATTGAGCGCATTGCAGTGAGTTGACTTTCTCTCAGTAATGCTGCCTCCCCAAGTCCTGCTTATACTTGTGGCTCTCAAATTTATTTTTTATCACTGTATTATATTTAACTTTTCTAGTTATTCTCAGCTAGCAGATTTATTTGCTACAAATTAATCTGTCATGACCACAGGCAGAGGCCAAGTTCAGCCCCAAACCCAGCACTAACCTCACAGGAGCTTTGGTGAGGTTCCCCAAAGGCAAGAGGAGTCTCCTTGCATTTTCTTTGATTCTGACTCCAGTCAATGCCCACTTTCAAATATCAGAACATTTACATTTGTTACGGATTGATTAAAACCACTGTAATTCTGGTGACAAAACTGTACTAATGCCTTTTATCTCCTCCTCTTGTCCAAGACCCTCCCTTTGGTGGGGGATCATCATAAGAAAATTAACTGAAAAGAAAAAAATGGCCTCAACTTCTGGGGTCAGTTGAATTGCCTCCACAAAATCCTCCAGTCTTTAAATCCAGTTTTCTCATCTGTCCCCAACTTGACCTTTTCAGGAGTGAGGACCACCACTGACCCAAAGCCCATCCACTAGGAACTCCTGCCTGCTTACACTGCAGTTGTTGGTGTCAGCCTATGTTGTGGTTTGTTTAGATGCCCCCTCAGAAGCCTCATTCAGTCATGGAGGCAACTGAGTCTAGTATTTGTGATTGATGCCTTGTCCGTGCTGGGACTGGCAGTGTGAGTGCTGCACCCACCCAGGGCCAGGGAGCTGGCATGCAGTGTAAGGGAGGGAAGAAGTTATGCCTTCCTTCTGTTTGCCCGGTTCACTCTGTCACTTGCAGCCACCATGAACGGCTGCCCCTCAGTCACACCACCCTGCCTTGGAACCAGCTAAGTATGGACTGAAACCTCCAAAAACTGTAAGCTAAATAAACATTTCCTTGCTTTACTTTGGGCATCAGGTATTGTCTCATCAATGCGAAAAAAGTAACCAAGACAGCCTGAAAACATTTCTGTCTTTTATTACACTGAGTTCACTAAGGACATTTTATTGTCTGTATAACCTTCAGTTGCCTCTTCATACAATAATAAGTTCACTGAATTTTCTCTACAGAATAATTTACTTACTTCTGTATTGCAGTTGTTTGAAATTTGGTTTTTGCTATTAATAACAAATTTTGATTAGTTTTTCATTAATTTTCTTATTACTTTCTACAAATAGCATATAAATTGTGGAAAATTAATGGTTTAAGTGGAAACCCCATCTAGTTTCTTCATATTTAGAAGAATTTCCACTGACTAAGATCTATCTTGATATACTTAAACCTTATATCTCCTCCTTAACCTTTATCCTTTTGGTGTGTGGGGCCATTAGATGAATTCAAACTGCAGTGAGACTTTGGTTACTACCTTAGATAGTCATCTAGTACATTGGAAGTTAGAACAATTCTTGGAGCAATTTTTTTAAAGAGATTAAGACAAAACAGGACATAACAAAGCAGATCAGAACAGAACAATGTAAGCAACACAGTATTTCACCAGAAGACAACCCGTAATTAACAGTGACTACCATAATGTCTCTTTCTTTAAAATAGTTGAGTCTTGGAGCAATTTTTAAACCAGAACATGTGGCAGGAACTTGCTGTTAATGTGAATGAATATGAGCCACACATCTTACTAAGCCAAGACTACACCCAAATCAGCTCACCCAAATGCTTATATGGATGCTGTGGCCACTGCAACTATACCTAAAAGAAGGAGAAATGCAACAGAGGGGAAATTTGAGTCTAAAGAGACCACTGTCACTATTTGCAAATTATAAAGAAACATGTTACTCTGAGAACAGCTTACTAAGAACCTTCCCAGGATCCTAGGGCAGCCATGAATATTGAGCTTCATTATCTTTAGGATAAGTGTAATTTATGTTTAAATATTAAAGTCTCCCTCCTCCAGAAGAGTTAGCTAATTTAGAATATGGACTCTGGAAAAATCATAAACCAAGAAAAGAGAGTTCAGGCTTTGCTCTTTATATAAATTCACACATGCCATCTCGGAGAGATTCAATACTACACTAACCCTGTCTCCTAACAGTCTCTTTTCAGTAAAACTTCTTGAGGGTAAAGGCAAGAAAAATTTACTCCATGAAGACCCTGAGTTCACCCAGTGGTTCTCCTTTCCAAATTTCTTTGTAACAGAAAATGCCCTCGGCAAGTCAGTATACTTCAGTTTGTTAGTTACCCAGGTAACAGTTTCTATTCCAGTTCTGGTTGCTTGTGTCTCTTAGAAACACTGGTCACTGTGATGCATAGCTGGTCACTATGATTCACACTGTGTAAAACAATCCCCAAATCAACAAGCCATTCTACCTCTGTACTTCCTGCTGGCTTATCCCACGTAAGCCCTAGACCACCAGAGATCAGGGCCTGATATTCTGGGAATGATCCTCATCAGTGCCCATCAACATAAATAAATCTGCTTCCAAATCCTGGGTGTTGTTTTGGTATTTCTGCTTGGCTTTGCACCTCCTCTTTTTTTCTGTCTCCAGTTCAATATACTTGCAATGCTTTGCTAGGGGTGCCGTAACAAAATACCACAGAGTTGTGGCTTACACAACATTATATTTTCTTACGACCCTGAAGGACTGGAACCATGAGGAAAAAAAGAACTAAGATCCAAGTCCTAGCAAGAATGATACTTTCTGATAATTCTTTCCTGGATTGTGGATGGTCATCCTTCTGTGTGCACACTATTTTAATCACTGTATTGAGTTTCCTTTTCTTATAAGCCACCTTTCAGATGGGATAGAGTTTGCTCTAAGGACCTCACTTTAAATTAATCAGCTCTTAAAAGGTCTTATGTCCAAAATAGTCACATTCTGAAGTACTGAAGTTAGCTCTTCAAGACAGAAATTTTAAAAGAGATACAATTCACCGTATCACAGTACTGTTTCTAGGTACTCCTCTCATTCTCAAAGAGCTCAGATGCCAAAAGTAGTGCAGCATTCTGAACTGTAGTATCCTTCATGGAAGGCTAGAGTGAATAAACCCTTGCTTCTCCCCACTCCCCACTTCTTCCAAACTCATTAGAACAGTCTTTGTCATCTTTTTCTCAAATTTCTGGTGGCAAGTTATTATACACACAGTTACTTCTACTCAGCTTTTCCAGCCAGCCAAAGACGCTGAATGGTCTCCATGATTCTACATGTGGCTAAACAGCACTGTCTCTGGATGCCGTGATCTTAATTCCATGTAATGTACAAACTTACACAGGTTGTGAACATAGTTTATTACTCCATGAGGAAAAAAATGTAAACATACTCGGGCATCAAAACTTAGAAGATCGACCTTCAGCCCTGAAGAGGATTTGATCTGTGTGCCTCTTATCAGACACACACACACATACATGCACACACACAAAACCAAAAGATGTTGAAGATATTTTTAAATTTAGGTTTTAAGTTTATTCAAATGCTAGAGGAAACACTTGACCTACTTATTTCATCTTCTATGAATGTGGATTAATGATTTCACTCATCTCTCCCACTGGAGTGAAAAATGACCTGAAGAAACAACATCACTACTTTAAAAATTCTGAAATCCCATTTCAAATTGAAATCGGAAATTGCTTCATCAAATGTTATTTACTACATTGGCCTTCAGCTTTAACCAAGTGCTCTACCACTGAGCTCATCCCTAACCCTCCACCTTCATTCATTAAATACTTATTACATGCCAGATGCTGTTACTCAACACCTTCATATTATTGCCTGATAATCAAAGTTAGCAGTTTCTGAGAATATGATGAAGTTATAGTTGTGGTGAGTATATTTCAAACACTGGATTGGAAGGTCCTCATTTATATACTTATTTATATTTCATTATTAGCTGTAGTTTACATTTAAGGTATAGAGATTTATATAGACTTTTAGGATTTTTTTTACCTGTATTTATGTCTTCATCTTGAATTTAACTATGAAAATAATATTTTGTTTGGCATGAGAAAGAGATTAAGTAAATGTTTATTTGGCAAAATCCCAGCACTTGGGAGGCTGAGGCAGGAGAAGTACCAGGGCTACATAATGAATTCAAGGTCAGCCTGAATTACAAAGTGAGATCCTGTCTCAAAAAGAAGCCATTTAAAAATTTTTTTATAAAATCCCAATCCAGAAAAAGCAAGATAAAATGTAGACCTATCCATTGTACAAGTGTAACAATTGTCATACTGTGTATACAGTGAACATTTTAGTAGGCTTTAAGTATTTTGTGATACTGCATGCTTGTTTTCTTAAGTGAAGAGCCACAAGATTCTGACAAGTGAAATATGGCCTTTCATAGTTGATGAACAATAGAAAAACTAATCAGAGCTGTATGCACATAATCCATCAGCTTAGAGCCCTGTCAAACCCTGAGAAGTCTGAAGCAGTTAGCTAAATTAATGTTGAGTAATATATGAATTCTTTCTTGGAAAAGTAAGATCTCAAAACATTTCTTGGACATGTAAATTGTCTGGAAAATATTTGATCCTATAAGTGCAAATAGGGAAAATATTCTTTTCAGTGACTGTGAGGAGACTTTATTGCCTGGAGCTGTGGCTTTGCTGACAGCTGGCTCTGGTGTGGGGCAAGGCCCTCACTACACCTCATCAGCAGGAAGCACTCAAGTATTATTAAAAACAGGAAGAGAAGAGTTACATTTTCCTTTGAAGAGGGTTAAAAACTCATTTAAATTATATAAATGATATCAAGTAGACCATTCTTACATCCTTGCATGTTCTGCACTCACGCGGTGTTCTTCCTCAATTTTCTCCTATATTATTTAGAAGGCAGAAAGGCAGTAACTTGAGACACAAAGCTCCTGTTCGGTACAGAGCAGGAAACTCCAGAAGCACTTGTCCTTCATCAAATTATACATCACCATGGTCACTCATCATAAAGGACACTTATTGCATTCTGGGGTTACTCTAGCTGCTTCAAACCTCTAAGCTTCTGGGATAAGTGGAAATTTCCACATTACATTTACAGTAGTGTCTCCTTCATGTAGGTGTCTTATGTTTCAAATTGTAGAAAAGGAGTTATTCTGAGAACTGGAGGCAAGTTCTCCCCATAAATGTTTTGCCGCCCAGAACAATAGGTACTTTTGCTTTGTTCCCCCACCGCAAAATCTATGCATATTATTCTCATTTTTGTACCATTTAAAAAACATATTTTTGCCTTAGCAATTTCACACCCCAAGGTCAGGGCGGCCTTCAAAGATAATGTTAGTTACCATTGACTGAGCAGCTATTGCTTCATTTGATTATAAGAGCTCTTGAAGTAGGAAATGCCTTTCCTGTTTTGAGGATATGGAAATGAAGAAGTCAGCTATCTTGAAAAAGTCCACAAAGTTAAGTAAGAAACACACCCAGGATTTGGGCTGTGGTCTGAATTCAAAGCCTAAAGAGATCTCCATTGAAAAAAGACATACACACACACACATGCAAGCACGCACATACACTTCACCACCACCAAAATTTGAAATAGAAATGATGTAAAATTCTGAGAACTATCTCCTTGTTCCTTTGCTTCTCCAGGTTCAACATCTTCAGTTACTTCAACCTTTTTTGTATAGTTAGAGACATTCTTCTCATCCTAGTCACTGTCTTCTAGACCTACCTAAGTTTGTGAAACAAAACAGCATTTTAACTGCTTCTAGAGCAGAAAAGACAAGAACATCAATCTCTCTTGGTAGGGACAGAAATAAGAGTCAAGATCACAACACACAGGAGTCCCTGATGTCCACTAATGTCTCTCTCTGGTCCTTGACACACAGTGGTGCGTATACTTGCGTCATTGAAGCCGGTTATGGTGCCAGTGCTTAGAACTGTGGTCGTGCTCCTCTCATTTGGCATTTAGCAAAATTCTGTGGTCCTCGTTAACAGATGGGTCTTCCTGCAGCCCCTGTTCTTGTATAGTTGCTTGAGCATCCACCGCTCATTGGAAAGGTCTGGCAGTTATACTGCATCGGTCTGCTCCATACTGCACTCTTGCTGACCACCTGTCAGGGCCACATTCTCACACCAAAGGGGCAGGTCTTGAAATTGAAATCTAAAAGGAGCAGAAACAAAGTTTGCAATATTTTTCTCATTTTTTCCAACTGTTTGTTCGTAATTCACTCTGCTCTAAAATTTCTGACTTCAAATTGATTTTTATTTGTATTAAATATTCTACATTTTTTCAGTCTTTATTATATTTGTTTCTCCCAATCCAAACATGCAGGTGAAAGTATATTCAATCTTTGTCCATAATATAGCAGCAGCCAGCCACGGCACATACCTGCAGCTCCAGCCTCTCCAGAGGTCCAGACAGGGGCATTGCAAGTTCAAATCTAGCCTGAGCAAATTACTGACATCCTAGCTCTGTCTCTAAATCAAACATTTATAAAAGTGTTGAGGATGTGGTTTAGTTGTAGCTGTTTGCCTAGCATACAGAACACCTGCAAGTTCATGCTTCTCATTCCATAAAGATAAACTTGCATCTCATCTCTCTATAGAACCTCCTGATTACCTCTGTTCCTGGCAATTTCTCCTGCCTCTGGCTTCCGTGCAAGATACTGAAAGATCTTTAAAGCATCTTTGTCTAGAAAATTAACAGTCCTGCCATAGTGGATTGCGTTGCCTCCTCCCTTTGTTTGGGTTAGTACTGACATCACTGAAAGACTGGGATCCTTTAATCATCAGTGCCCAGGGGTGCAATGAGGTCACCTTTAAGGTTGTTCCAACAGCAAACTACCTTAGCCCAGCTGTTCAAAGCAGGTGTTTTACCACAAACAAGTAATGTTTTAAGATCAAGGACAGATTATGGTAAGTGCTAATTATAAACAGTGAAAACTGAAAGGGATGAATAATTCTGGAGACCAGCATTTCATTATGATAATGACCATTTGGGAACTGAGCCAACACTCTGGAATCCTGTCATCTAAGTAAAAAGAAAATAAGATTTGCTTCATTGTGCATAGAGAAATTTTATTCAGGCTTACAATGAATAATATTACATGATGATTCTTTTAAATGGATTAAAATTTGGATTAAATATAAGTACATACAGAATAATTTTAAAGGCTGTGAACATTAAGAAGCCCCAGAGTAAACTGGCACTGAAACCTATATATGGCCATTTAAGTGTGCAGGAAAGAGGCCTGAGACTTAGGTTTAATCTCCAGCTCTTGCGCATAGTCTTATAATGGATCTGAGAACTGAAACAGACCAGTGTCTGTGGCTCTGTTTTCCAATATGAAGGCACTCAGTTTCAGAATATGAAATATCATTTCCAATTGTTAAATTCTGTTTCTCTGCTACTCATAAGAGGAAATAGTTTTATTTTTATTTTCACATATCTTTAGTTTTAGACAATTTCATGTCAAGAAATAGCTCTATAAAAAGATAAAGTACTTTAAATCAATCAACCTCTCTCAAATATATACACATACATATCTATTATATACATAAAGTATCTATTATCCATGATTCCTGAGTTTAGGAAAATGATTTTTAATTTTGTTAGTTTCTTTCCCTATTATGTCTTTCTACTTTACAAATTTCTAAGACTAGAACATATGATGTTACAGTAGTTTAACTCAAATTGAATTGTTCCTCTACTTTTTTTTGTAGATAGTTCTTTTCTGGCAGTCCTGAAGGTTGACCTAGGATCCCATGCATGCTAAGCGAGCTCTCTGCCACTGAGGTGCACTCTCAGCCCTAAAGACAGCTTTCAGGCTTCGCTAGCAGTGCACGTAGTGGCAGAAGGTGAGGTTGGAGGGCCGTTTTACCCAGCTTGAGCCTGACTCAGGGACGAAGGCGGAAGGTCACAATCACAGCACCAACTTACTGGCTGTGGAGACTGCAAGTCTGGAAGAGCATCGGAAGGATGAGAAGTGATGCTGGTGGCTGATAAAGTCCTCAGATGGGAGAAAGCCTGCTTTCCACCTGCCATCCTGGGTGTGGTTTCACTGGTGTTTCTGATTATTATCTAGATCCATCTATTCTGTCTGGCGTTTCCTGTTTTGTTATGTTTTAGTGGTTGGCTGATTACCTTGTTCCCATCCTAGCACCTGGAATTTTTGGCTCCAATAAATGGACCACTGAACAACAGCAAAGATTCCATGAAATTTGCAGCAAAGTAGTAAAAGACTAGATGCAGAGCTGTGGGCTGGTGGAAACGCCTCTTTACACTAAAGGAAGAAAAGCCAAAAATGTATTTCGTGACCATGATCGTTTCTCTCGCTGCGGTTGCTTGGGTGGGACAGCAAGTCCATAACCTGCTTCTCACCTGCCTGATAGTCATTTCTTACAGTTGCTTCCTGGACTGAACCAACATGGAATCATTTTGAAGTACACTGGAGTGGCCAAAAGGGAGATAAACAAGCTGCTGAAGCAAAAAGAAAAGAAAAATGAGTAATACATCTGCTTTCTTCGGTGTGGTTAACGGAGTATGCGTTGCTCCTGAGAATAGTTTCTGCTGTGCTGTGTGGATACTGGAATGCTACAGAAGTAGCTCTGCTTCCCTCACTCTGCCCTTCCTAGAATTCACACTTGCCAGTCAGGCTTTGTGCATTCTTTGTGTCAGTTGTAGCTGGGTGCATTCTCATCAGTTGGCCTTAAGTGGACAGCTCGCTAGTGAGTAAGGCTTGTTTTGACTTTTCTCACCCAGTGTTAACTGAATTCTCACTTTTGACAGCTTCCTTTAAAACACCGCAGTGGCGAACTTTGCTCTTTAGTACAGTTAACAGTGACTGCATAATTGTTTGGGATGATGTTTTAGTTAGACACAAGGTAGTGGTTGGTGACTACAGGAAGCTGGTTCTATCGTCTGCTTCCACAGTCTGCTTTAAAAGCTGACTTCATGAACATAGAGACCAAGTTTAGCACTCCTGATAAAGAGACCAGTTAGGAACCTTTCCTTACACTGTTTCTTTACATCTGAGAAGAATCCCTATGGAATACAATGAAACTGATTCCACTGATGCCCTAGGATGTGTAGCTTTCTCCCTTTTACAAAACAGCAATTTCTAGGAAGTACTGATCCTTTGTCTTACAGAGGGGAATCTGGCGGGTATACAGCACTTGTTCCCCTGCCCTACTTTGTTAGTGAATATTTAAAGGCGTTTTCATAGCAGATTTCCAAAAGACTTTACTTTAGGATATTTAGTATGCTTTTCATTTCAGGTTTTTACAGCATACACAGTAGGTTAAGATGCAAGTCTGTCACCTCTATTCCAACACCAGCCAGTAAAGGACAAAAGTCTTCCTATATTTAGTCAACATTCATTACAGTAGAAAATAAAATCACTAGTTTTTAAGATCAGAAAGAGCCTTCAAAGGTGAGCCTCAACTCTCATTTTACTGGCTATATTTTGGTTGCTGTAGGTTTTGAAATGTAGTGACTACACTGGCATTTGACATTTTTCCTCACTATTTTTCAAGGGCTGTTGGTGAGAGCAGGCTTGTGATGATAGTCTGACTGCTGGCCCATAAAGATTTTGCAACTCCTTAGAAAACTTCTCATAATCAGACTTTTCCTCCTGGTAGCTAGAAAGTTAGAAAAGCTAACTTCTGTAAGAATGAAACTTTGAGGGCCAAACAAGTGACATATTTGGGAACAATTCTTAAAACTGCTTGCCTAGCTGTAATATAGTTCTGTGAATTCATTGCACTGATGCTGTTAAACCTTGTGGTATATCTGTCCCTAAATTAGTATTGTTTTTTCCCCTTCCATATTGCTGTAAATGCTGGTACCCATTATAGTTTGTTTAATTTTTTAAAAAATATTTTCATATGCCTACCTTAATTTTACATGTGTTTCCTCATTGTAAATACGCCTGTCTTACCTGGATTTTTTTGTGTGTGAATGTGTGTTCTACCAGTTAACTACTTCGGCAGTTTTAATCCTGTATTATTTCTCCTTTGTTTGGTGTGAAAGGGGAAAAATAAAAGCTGGAATCTCTTTAAAAAAAAAAGATAGCTTTCAATAAAAAGTTGAACAATCATTTGAAGGGATGGAACAGTCTCTTTTTTCTAGCTTCTTTGTTTTGATATTGGCAAGGTTTTATAAAAAGGATATTTAATGAACGTCACATGCATGAGTGATTTTCAGTTTTTATTTCTAGTTTCCAGTCCATTTTAAGATACATTGTGAATAACTGAGATATAAGAATCTTCATCTGAGTTATGAGTCAAAACAATTGGTCAGGTTATACCTGTTTGGCTTACCCTACCTTGGAAATCATTAGAGTTCATTTTTCTGGGCTTAAAGAACTAGTTTGCTTTCAGGGAAATATTGGAATCAACTCATGCTTATTAAAATCAAATCAATAACCAACTATATATCTTCTAAATCTCCACATCTGTAGCAAGAGGTAAGTTAAGCTTTTTTTTTTTTTTTTTTAACTATAAGATCTGTTTAGTGGGAAAATTGCATTTCCTATAATTGGGTAATCATTACCTTTTTCTAAAAAGTTTCAGCGAAAGAAGTAATTTTAATCATCACAAATCTTCTGTATTGTTTTTCATCTTTGTGCCATAAAACATGTCCTTTCTGAATAAGCTTCCAGGGAGTAAAGGTGTCCATTTGGAATGTGATACTGACTTCAGGGCTCTCAGTCTTTGGCTAAGGAAGAACTTCTGGCCCAAACAGTATTGTGGGCTGATGTGATATAGAGGACAACAGGGGTGCAGAGCAGCAGCTCAGGACTTTTTGGTGCCTCGCCTGTGTGGAGTGAGAACACCCTGGGTAAGCACTTTTCCTCATAGGGGATCTTCTGCAACAGCAATACATGTATTCATACAGGGAACTGAAATACCTTGCAAGTGATGTATATGCCTAATCCTTGGCTTGTGTGGATCTTTTTTTTTGTTCAGTGTTTCTCTTGGACTCCTACTATTCATAATTTATTTTTAGCACAATATTATTTACATGAATAAAACCTAAAACAATGTAAAACCCCAGAGCTATGGCTTTTATGTATCTATATCAACAAAAGAAAAACCAAACATCACAAAACCAATTAAGTGAAATTAAAGTCTAGTGAACAAAAGATACTGCTTCACTGAAATCAAATCTCTAGTCATTAAGGATATCAGCCACAGGCTAAAGAAGCTTGAGTTCTTTGAGGCCGAGTCTGCTTGTTCCATGATCCAGGTGACGGTTTTTCAACCACCACTGATCTCTCTTCAAACTACAAACAGGCTTCATTAATGCTGCACATTCATTTGTTGTTTCTTGTGACTTTCCTTGAAAACACCCCATCATGTATTGCTTCTCATAGGCCTAGATAATTAGTTTTGGTACTTGGTCCCAATATGTTTTTAAGCACAACATAAGCATTTTGTGTGTGTGTGTACAAAGGGCCAGGTGGCAAATATTGTAAGCCATGAGTGCTGTACTGTCTCTGTAACGACTCAATTCTGTAGTTGTGCTATGAAAGCAGTGACAAACACTAACAAAAGAATTGTCATGACTGTGTCTCAAGAAACCTTATTTACAAAACAAAAGATGGAGTAGTTTGGCCTGAGGGCTGTGTAGTTTGCTGAATCTTCATAAAGGCAAGCTCAGAAATGCCAAAATCTTGTAGCAGTCTATGGTTATGAGCTGGTCATTTGGTATTTTTGTTTTTTTACGTGTAAAAAAAAAGTGATATAAGCCTCCCTCAAATCCTTGTGAATATCATAAAAGACTCTCGGGGAAGCATAGATCCTGAGTCTGAAGCATAGCTCTAGAGATTTTCCAAATAAGCAGTTGCCAGAATTAAAACAGCTTCTTTCCAAATAGAGAGGAAAGGGTTTGCAGAGATCTGAAGATATAGCAGGAACTCAGGTAGAAAGCAGCCCATGAGAAAAAATATTTTAAGGGTTAAATGATTTGTGTGCAAGGTAAGACAGGGCTGTGGATCAGTCAATGAACCCTGCACTCCAAAAGGAGCTAGAAAATAGCCATGTAGCACCTGGTTCTGCTGCAGATTTTTAGAGTTGAGTGAGTCTCCTACTTTTCCGAGCTTCGGTTTCTTCATCTCTAAACTGGGTGGTACCATTACTAAAAGAATGGAAGTAAGGGTTGAGCTGATGCTGTGAAGTGCTTCAGAAATAAACAAGTGCCAATGAAAACACAGTATTTTTGTTATTTAGACTAAAGAAGTTGAGTATGAAGGCTGATGGCTGATTCAGGAATTGTCATTGGAAGCCTGCAAGGCTATTGGAAATCTGTTGCCCTTCATACACAAGTTTCTTTTTCTTTTTTTTAGAGACAGGGTCTCACTATTTTGCCCAGGCTAGAGTGCAGTGGCTATTCACAGGTGCGATCCCACTACTGATCAGCATGGTGTGAGAGTTGACCCCCCTGCTATAACCCCCTCCCCAGAGCGGGGAATGAAAGGGTTAACTCCCTAACTCCCCAGAGCGGGGAATAAAAGGGTTAACTCCCTAACTCCCCAGAGCTATCAGAGCAGAGCAGAAAGAAATGCCTAACTCCCCAGAGCTATCAGAGCAGAGGAAAAAAAAAAAGAAAAAATGCACCTGCAAGGTTGTTCTGTCTCAAGGAGATAAGTAAGACAAGTAACTGTTCTGTTCTGGGCACATAGTGACTGGGCTAGGACCCCCAGTCTCCATGGTTACTCAACCCCAAACCCCTCCAATCAACTTCTGCCAAGTCCTATCCTGCTCAAAATTAACCAATGCAATCTGCTTCTGTAAATTCGCTTGCCTCCCTGCGCCCTTAAAAACCCTACACAATTCCCCTTCGGGGCCCCTCCGCACTTGTTTGCCTGGGGGACCCCATGCGCATGGAAATAAACTTTTTTCCCTCACCAAGAATTGAGTCCTTGGGGTCTCTTTCCCTGCGGCGTCGGCCCTAACAATGGGAGTTTTGACCTGCTCCGTTTCCGACTTGGGCCGGTTCACCCCTCCTTAGGCAACCTGGTGGTCCCCCGCTCCCGGGAGGTCACCATATATATATGTATGTATATATATTTTGTCTTTTTCCTTTTTATCGGTGCCAGGGATTGAACTCACGACTGCCTGCTTGCAAGGCAGGCGCTTATGCCGCTGAGCTAAACCCCCAGCCCCTGAGGTCACCATATTGATGCCGAACTTAGTGCGGACACCAGATCGGCATAGCGCACTGCAGCCCAGAACTCCTGGACTCAAGCGATCCTCCCACCTCAGCCTCCCGAGTAGCTGGGACTACAGGCCGCGCCACCATGCTCGGCCATACACAAGTTTCAAAACAACACTTTCTTATAATTACAAATCAGCTTCCTGTCTCCTAGTAGTACAAGGGCTTTTTGGATAGTGTATAGAAGGGGCACTTGGGAAGAGTGATTTGCCTGTCTTCCCTCCTAGAGACCAACCTGATTGCCATCGTCCAAACAACACATGAAGTGAAGATTCCTGGGTTGGTAGAGAAGCTGCCCATGTGGCAAAGTTTCATTCTGGGTAGGATGTCTAATGGGGATCTCAGTAGTGTCTCCACAATCAGGGTATTATGCTCAGGTCTAGGTGTTCAGAAACTCAGGAGTATAGTTTACTCAGTGTTGAGTAACCTTTTAGGGACTTGTAATATAATGTTACAGTAGGTTTGTCATAAATGGTTTTCATCAGGATGAGATAAGGTCTTTGTATCCCTATTTTCTTCAGGGCTTTTATCCTAAATGGATGTTGGATTTTGTCAGATCCGTTTCCTGCATATATTGAGATAATCATGTGATTTTTGTGTTTGCTATTATGTGATGGGTTACATTTATTGTAATGTATACATATGAATAACTGTTTCTGCATCCCTGGAATGAAGCCTACTCAGTTATAATGTATGATCTGTTCGATGATTTGTTGAATTATGCTTGCAAGTATCATATTGAGAATTTTTTGTATCTGTTTCATTAAAGAGATCAGGCTGTAGCTCTTTTTTGGTTGGCTCTTGTTTTGCTTTCAGTTAATACTAACTTCCATACTCCTTCCCTTTCAATGTCATTAAAAAGTTTCAAGAGTATTTGCATTAGGTCTTTGCTAAAGTTCTTATACAATTTAGTCGTGAATTCATCAGGATCTGGGCTTTTCTTAGTTGGAGATATGTATGCGTGTGTGTTTGTGTTACTTCTTGAATTTCATTTCTTGTTATTGAATTGTTCTTGGTCCAGTTTTGATAATTCATATATATCTAGGAGTCTATCCATTTCTCTTAGATTCTCTAATTTATTATGAAAATCTTTTTAGTGTCTGTTTTTCAGTGATTCACTGTGTGTATGGATAACTATAGGCCTTTCCCTCTGTCCTAAGATTGAACCACTTCCACTATTTTGGGAGAGGAGGATGCAGTGTAATTGGCCTAACTCCCAGTTCTCTGGGACCAGACTGCAGTATTGTTAATGATACAAAGATAATACAAACGTTGGTATACAGAGCAAGCTGATGAATAGCAACAATTATGATTCTCTGTCAACAGAAAGTAAATCATCAAAAAATTGTCCAAGACAACCTGAATATTGACATACCATGAGAACCAATAATGTGCCATCCTTAATCTTAGAAAACAGATTCATAATTACATCACAAGCACTAAGATAAACCAAATATTGGCATACAGTAAATATCTACTAAATGGGACAACTGTATCTCCATTAACAGTAGAAAAATCCAATAACAACATAGACTTCATTAACAGCTAAAACTAATAAAGCTCAATGATTGTACTAGTAAAAAGAGGGGGATGAGAATGAGAGAATAAAAGAAGAAAAATTTGAAAAATTAAACCACAGAAGATGAAAAGAAAAAGAACAGCAAGGCAAAAGGATCCTGATAAAGAATAGAAATATATAAAAAGAACAAACAAGAAACAGGTATAGAAACAAACAGAAAAGAACAAGAAAAAGGTTAAAAAAAAAAGAAAGGGGGGAACATGTGGAGAATAAAAAAATTAAGAAGAAAAAAGAAAGAAAAAGGAAATTATCCAAACCTCAATAAACTAGTGAAAAAAGAGAAATTTAAAAGAAAAAAAGAAAAACAAACACAAAAACAATGAACTTTCCCATCTCCAATAAACCTGCAAAGAAAAAACAGTGAGTCCCAAAGAGAAAAATTTTTTCTTTGTATTTTTCCATGAGTGGTTTCTTTCCAGGATCCAGTTCTGGAATCCAGCAAGTCACTGCTTTCTCTGCCTACCTTTACAGGTTTGTGAGGTTCCTTTCTGTTGCCGAGGGTCCCCAGGATATGGCATCCATCCAAGCTGGAGTGTGTCCTTGCTCACATTGGTAGACAGGGAAGATAATCAGACTTCAATCTTGGTGCAGGGGAAGGTTTCAAGTGGTCCCCTCCACTTACTTTAAGCTCGGTCAGCTGCTTCTGAGGGTAGCGTGAGCTGGGCCTGGCTTCTCACCAGAGGGCGGGACCCATGTCCTTCTGGCCTCAGTTTAAATTTCTCAGGGACTTTCTGTACAGCTGCACGCTCTCCCTGTCTCTTGTGGCTCTTACCTGAAATGAAGTTGTTTTTTAGTTGTTTTGAGTCTCAGACTTAAATAATCACCCTTTCTTGAAATGGCACCTGATGCTGCACTCTCTGGCAATACGATGGGCACTGCACTGGATTCCCTCTCTGACTGGTGCCTATCATGTGGAACGAATCACCTTGAGCAAAACCACACACTGCTCTTTCAGTTTATGACAGTGGCAGGCTCCTAGGGGTTTACCGTGTGTCTGTGGAGGAAGGTTCCCCTTCCTGGGAGCTACGGTTGATTTCCAGACTGCTTTGTTTTTTTCTCTGCATTGTGGTCTGTTTCTCCAACTTCTCTGCAGATTTTAATTTTCTTGTCAGTACTTTCCCAAATTCAGGATATCTCGTCTTTTTTCTTCTTTGGTTTGTTATTTTTCATGTGTCTGGATTCTGGATCTCCACGGAGGCTGAATTTTGTTGATGATCACTGCTCTGCCAACTTGGTCCCTGCTGCACCCCTGAATTTGACTCTTTTCCACCATAAATGCAATGGGAAGTAGCATCAGAGCTGTAAACTGAGAAACGAGGCTAATCTTCATTTTTAACAGTTATCCTGGTGTTATCCTGGATTGCAAGAGGGCCAAGAATAAGAAGCGTGGAAACCGATGGGAAGCTGTTAAGTTGCTCCAGGCAGGAGACGACAGTAGCTTGAATGAGGGTGGTGGGGGTGCAGATGCAAAAAGTGCAGAGTCTGGGGACGTATTTCTAAACGGAAAACTTAAGCTTTGAATAGAGTATATGATGGTTTGGAGAAAAAATAAAAGAGGGAACAAAATTTCTAAGCTTCTGGTTTCCTTAGTTGGATGGACTGTGGTGAGATTTATGAGATTTAAGAACAGCGCTTTGGAAGGCGGGCAGCAGAAGGTGGAGCAGGTACCAGAGAGCTCACGTGTGGGTATTTTAAATTTTTTGAGAGACATCATAATGGAGATGACAAAGAGGAAGCTGGAACTCAGAGATGAGAAATCAGGACCAGCTCGTGCTGCACGCAGAAGCAGCTTGGTCGAAAAGTGGGAAATCATCGTGTGTCTGTGGAGGAAAGGAAGACTTTAAAAAGCCTTAAAACATTACACAAAAAGATATGCATGAAAAATGGCTGGAGATTTAGCTCAGCGGCATAAGCGCCTGCCTTGCAAGCAGGCAGTCCTGAGTTCAGGCAGTCGTGAGTTCGATCCCTGGTACCGATAAAAAGGAAAAAGACAAAAAAAAAAAAAAAAAAAAAAAAGATATGTATGAAAGTCATAGCTCTCAGACTCTCTAGTATTTTTTAATTAGGTTTATTTTTTCCAGATTGAATATTTCTATTGTCAGAAATGAATAATGCAGAAAAATCATAAAAATAAAATAACTATTAAAAATATAATTTATTGGTAAGCATTATTAATGTCTTCCTCTTTCTTTGGTCCCTATTCCTATTCTTTACATGGTTCTCTTTAAATGTTTAGGCCCTATGGGCTTCTACTGTTTCTATATATCAAGTAAGCTTCTTTCCACTCATTTTTAAAATTGTAAAACATGTAAAATTTTCCATTTTAATAATTATTACAAGTATTATTCTGACTTTAATTGCTCTCACAGTGCCGAACAACCATTTTCAAAACTTTCGCTGCCCCAACAGAAACCCCATAAATATTAAGTAATAACTCCTTTCTTTCAATTCACTGACAGAGAAATTAGGGAACAATACCTTTCACAATAGGATCCAAAGAAAACAAAGCAAAACAAAACAAAATACCTAGGAATCAATTTAACAAAGGATGTAAAAGACCTCTACATTGAAAACTACAGTATTCTGAAAAAGGAGATTGAAGAAGACATCAGAAAACGGAAAGATATCCCTTGCTCTTGGGTAGGAAGAACCAATATAGTGGAAATGGTCATACTCCCAAAACTGATATACAGATTTAATGCAATTGTGATCAAAATTCTAATAGCACACCTCACAGAATTGGAGAAAAGAATTCTAAAATTCAGTTGAAATCAGAAGAGACCTAGAATAACAAAGACAATTCCAGGCAACAAAGGCAAGATAAGGGCACCACAATTCCTGGCCTGAAATTATACTATAAAGCTATTGTGATAAAACCAAACCAAACCAAAAAATAGTATGGTACTGGCAAAAAAGAAAAAAAGTCTTGAAGATCAGTGAAACAGATTAGAAGATTCAGGAACAACTCCAGACATACTAAGCCACCTTATCTTTGACAAAGGAGCTAAACACAATCACATGAAGAAAGATATACTGCTGGAGAAACTGACCCTGCACATGCTGAAGATTAAACTTGGGCCCATAGCTTTCACCATGCACTAAACTAAATTGGAATGAATCAAAGATCTAAATATTAAAACAAACAATAAATCTACTAGAAGATAGAGTATGCAAAACTCTGCACGACATAGTGTAGGCAAAGACTTTGTGAACAAAACCCCAATTGCACAGAAACTGTCACAAAGAATCAATAGCTGGGACTCATCTTATTAAAAAGCTTTTGCACAATAAGAGAAATCATCAACAAAGTGAAAAGACAACCTCAAATGTGGGAAAAAATATTTGCCAGCTGTTCCTTAAAGGATTACTACTGAGAACATAAAAAGAACTAAAAATAAATAAATGAATGAATAAATAAATAAATAAAGTAGTCCTCCCAAATTTCCATTTTACCCAGCTATTCCTCTTCTGGGTATCTTTCCAGAAGAATTAAAAGCATTGTACCCATAACAATATATGTGAACCTACGTTTATAGCAGCATAATTTGTAATAGCTAGATCTTGGAAACAACCCAAATGCCCATCTGTTGAGGAATTGGATAAAACAGATGTGATCCTTTATATAATGAAGTACTAGTTAACGATAGGTAAATGGATGTAACTTGAGACCACACTGAGAAGTGAAATAAACCAGACACGCACATGCAAATATCATAGTCTCTCTAGTGTGAGAAGCTGAAAGAGTAAATAAGATCCAAACTGTGCAAAAGATATTGTAAAATGGGAAGAAATTTCAAAAAGAAAGAAAAGCTGGGATGAGGGACTAGAGAATAGAAAGGAAAAGCAAAAAAAAAAACCAAAACCAAAACCAAAAAACAAAACCACAAAACAGTATATATGACAGTTAAAACGGAAATACTACTAATTTCTCTTAGTTCATTGAAAACAAAGGTTTGTGCTAATATTGTTTGGACAGTTAAATGCCAATGTCTTTTACTCTGAGTAACTAATTTAAAGATAACTATGTGCAATGTATTAACCATTGTTACCTTCCTATTATCTTACTGTGAAATTTTTTTTTGTCTTTAATTTTTAAAAAGCTGGGGATTTAGCTCAGCAACACAATAACCTTCCTGGCAAATATGAGGTTGTGAGTTCAATCCTTGGTACAAATAAATAAATAATAAAAATAAAAAATAATAACTCATCCCTCCTCCCATTCTTCCAGCCCTTGACAACCTCTAATCTACTTTTTATGTCTATGAATTTGTCTATGGTGGATATTTGATATACCTGGAATCATATATTTGTCCTTTTAGATTTAGTTTCCTTCACTTTGCATAATATCTTCAAGGCTTATCCATGTTGTAGCATGTAACATAATTTTATGCCTTTTTATGGAAAAATAATATTCAATGATATGCATGGGCCGCATTTTGCTTACCTATTTTCTGTAATGCATATTTGGGCTGTTTCTACATTTTGGCTATTGAATGCTGGGATGCAGGTTTGAGTCCTTGTTTTCAGTTCTTTTTGTTACATAATTAAGAGTACAATAGCTGGGTGATATGGCCACTTTATGTTTAGCTTTTTAAGGAATTTCTAAACACTTTCCCACAGATGCTATACCACATTTTTTATCAGCAGTCCCAAGGGTTCTAGTTTCTACTATCTTCATCAACTTACTTTACATTTTTAAGATTATAGTCAACCTAGTAAATGTGAAGCAGTATCTTCTTGTAGTTTTGATTTGTATTTTTCAAATGACAATTATATGTACCTTTTCATTTATTTGCCCATTTTACAGATCTTCCTTGGAGAACTGTCCACTCAAGTCCTTTGTTTACTTTTAAATTTGGTAGTTATTACCAGTTCATTACAGTTCAATAGTCAGGATATTAAATCGCTATCGGATATACAATTTGCAAACATTTTCTCTGGTTCTACAGGTTACCTTTCACTGTGTTGATAATGATCTTTGTTACACAAAAGTTTTTAATTTTGATGAAATCTGATTTTTGTCTTTTGTTGCCCATACTTTTGGTATTCTAAGATTCCATTACTGAACTGAAGGTAATTAAGATTTGTCCCTATCTTTTCTTCTAAGAGCTTTATGGGTTTAGTTTTTATATTTAGGTTGTAAATTCATTTCAAACAATTCATTTGTAATTTCATTTTCAAACGATTTTGTAAATAGTGTAAGCCAACAGTTTATTCTTTTGCATGTGGAAAGCCAGGTGTCTGAGTAGTTTTTCCGATATCATTTTTAGACCAAATATTTGGGAGAAATTTACAATTTAAAAAAATTATTCCTGGCTCGTAAGCCACACGAGCCACGTGGGTTCCAGGGAGAGAAAAGTCAATGTCTCCCAAGAATCAGCCATGCTGCTTACTTAGGGGACTAACCAAGAAATCAACCAGCCAGCCTTCCTGGTAAGCCGCGCAAGCCTTGCGAGTTCCAGGGAGAGACAAATCTGATAGTGTGTCCCATGAGCCTACCGGTATATGGGCTGAGAATCAAACCCCCTCTGTGTGTTCCCCACCTCTAGTCCCCCGCCCCCAAGCAACCAGATGGTTTAAAGAACAGGCTGAGTTGGTAGCAACTAAGGTACACCTCGGGAAGATGACAGTATGCAATATAGCAAATATGAGGGATTTCCTTGTTTTATCTCTGAAGTCAAATGTTTTCACTGTTTTGCTTTGTTCTGATTAAATGTCTTGCTTTACTCAACATTTTTTGATTGTTCTTACTGTGTTTTGTTTCTGGTTTGATTTTGCTATACCTGACAGAATGGACAACTACTATGAAGGTAACAAGATATACTGTGGTAGCTGTTGTTTTCCTGGAATCCTGCTTTGAAGTTCTGTATCAATTTTGTCCATTGTTTTGATTGGCCTTGTTCTGTCTTATTTTATTGGATTTTATTATCTTTAAAATTAAAAAAATTATTTCTGATATTGGGAATATTGAATATTTTACTTTCTAAAAATGTTTTATTATTTGAATTTACACACAAAACTCCTATGAAGTAAATTTTTTTGTTTTTGGTACTGGGGATTGAATTCGTGACTCATGCTTGCCATACAGGTGCTTATGCCACTGAGCTAAATCCCTGACCCTGTTACTTTTTAATAGAAAGTTATGAGGGAATTGATACATGAGAATTGCTAAGTGGTGGATCTGGGGTGTATCTCATTGACTGAGTGCTTGCAGAGTATCACCAAAAACAAAGAAAAAATTGGTAAGTGGAAACTGTCTTGTACAAACTAGGCATGACCTGCAGATTAGTTTAGTTTAAAAATAAAAGAGTCAGAATTATTACTAAGAGATAAAGATACATTTTCAAATGCTTAAAGGTCTGTTAGATGGAGATTCCTATTATTCATCTTCACTGTAACAGAACTAGAGAAAATGTGTGTTTCACTTAAATTAAATATACTGCACTATTTTTGGTTGTTTTGTTTTTTGTTTGCAGTGCTGGAAACTGAATCAACAGCCTTCATTCATGCTTGGCAAGTGCTGTATCACCGAACTACAAAACTGAATCCCTTACTTTTAATGTAAATTAATTATATGCAATTAAATTAGTGTGTATTAGTTAGGTTAATGAAATGGCAAGACTTCAACTTTGCAATGGCAAAGGAAAATAATAATAATGCATATTACATGTCTATCACGTCATGCCTGTTTTGAACATTTTCTATATATTAACTCATGAAAGACTCATGAGCCCAAGATATAGTTTCCATTATCATCACCAGTGAGCTTGGTCTTAATTCTAAGGAGTTCAACATTGTGCGTGGGCCTCTAGCTAAACCACTTTAGTTAAAACTGAATAAACATTAGGAAGCCTCTTCAGGATGAGGAAAGACATTATCTTTTCATCAGCATGCAATCTGAAAACAGGAAGTACATTTATTATTTAAAAGAATGTTATAATCCAGGGGCAGAAGACAGGAGCTGCTAGCATCTGGAAGTTAGTGACTCTGCTAAACATCTGGCCATACAAATGAAAGCTGCAGAAACATAGCACTATCCTGCCCAAATGTCAGCGGTGCCAGTGCTGAGAAACCTTACTTGAGAGTAATGGAAATGGACTTGGACCTTGCTGAGTCTCGTGAATTTGAGAAAGTGGCTTCATTTCCAGACTCTGCTTTCTCTTTTGAAAGAACAAAATATCCATCCCCCAAAAAACAAATAAAAAACAAAATCTACCTTAAGAGTGGTTGTGAGAGGCCATTTCAAAACCATTAAACAATGCTGGGCATATACTGGACTCAATAAGTACAAACTGGGGACCATACTGGCAAGCTCAAACATAAGATGAGATGAAGGCAGCGTCAGAAAGCAATTGTCACTGAAATGAAAAGAAATCTCCCCATCTTGCTGTCAGCTTTTATAGAGAAAAGAGCACGAGATGGAAAGATATGTAAGAAGATAAAATAGTACTGAGTATTCAGTGTAAAGAAAGGGGAAGAAATAGGCTGGAAATAGAAAGTAGCAAGGGAATTGTATAGATACAAGAGTCTGGCAATGGATTACAGATGAATTTAGGAGAGTTTACAGGGATTAGAACTCAATGGGCAATTTAAGACAGGATTATGAGAGAGGAGTCTAAGATGAATACGAGATTTGTGACTTGGGTGCTTGATGTTAGTGGTACTATCAACAAAATAATGAAATCAGAGGTCAGAAAACAAAATAAATTCAGTGTAGACATACCAAGTTTGGGATGCTTATGAATATTTTGATGATAATCAGGAGGTAGTGGGATATAGAAGCATGAGGAGGGGTCAAAGATTTTACAATAATGAAACAGAATCAATCAGTTGAATTCATAAAATGACTATTTTCCAAGGAAAACATAAGAAGTAAAAAAAATTGCAGAGGACAGAACTTTAAAGAGCTGTATAAAGAAAACTAAGATAAAACAATCAAGGGGAGTAGTACAACAGGATGAGAATAGAGTAGTATGGAAATTAGGCTGAGCTTTAAGAATAAAAGTGTGGTAACACTGTTAAATGTCATAGAATATATAAATGACATCCAAAGCTTCAGAAGATTTGATATCTGGGTGGTAGTACTAACTTTAGCATAAATACAGTGGCAAACAGAAAGACTAGACAACAATGAATTGAAGAGTCACCAATCATCAAAGAAGTAAAATTAAGGAATAAAAGGAGTTTTTCAGAAAGGTAAGCTATGAAGATTCCCCTGTCAAAACTAAAAATAGGCACCAGGAGCTAATTTGTATAATGAGAGAAAGGAGCTAGAAAAGAATGAAAATACAGAATATAGGACAAAGAAAACTGTTAAGAGTGGGATATAATGCTGACAAGGTTGTTTTGAGACAGGAAGAAGGAAACCTTTCACTAAACTAGATAGTTAGCTGGGTGTGAATGTAAGTCCGGCTGGCAAAGAAGAAAGCAAATGTTTGAGAAAGCTTATGCTGGAGAGCTTCACATTTTACCATCAAAATGTAGATAAAGAAGTCAACATGAAGCTAAGACCTCCTGTGAGTTGGCGCCATGTGCAGGCTGACTGGGGGATGCCAGCCACTTCGGGCACATGGGCAGGGTGACAACAAGAACCAGTGTCCCTCCTGCACCCTCCCCCCTCCATAAGCAACCAGCTGATCCACAACACCGCAGGCTACGGTGATAGCTAATGAGGTAAAATACAACTTAATGCTTATAGTGTTTAGTGTTTCACTGACTTTGAAGGCCTTCTGATCATCTATTCAGAGGATAACAATATGCAAAGTGGCATATATGGGGGATCTCCTTCTGAAGGTGGTGGTCATTGTTAATTCTCTATTATCTTGTTTCAAAATCGTGTATCATTCTCATTGTTTTGTTTGGTTGGGTTTTATTCTGTTTATCTTGTTTGATTCTGTTGTATCTGATAGCATGGGCATTTTTTTTTTTTTTTTTTTGGTACCAGGGATTGAACTCACAACCTTGCACTTGGCCAGGGAGGTGCTTAAACCACTGAGCTAAATCCGGCCTATTTCGAAGATGACAAGATATATAATGGTAGCCATTTCAGATTTCCTATTATCTTATTGTGAAGTCCAGTATTGCACTCATGGTTTTGTTTTTATTGGTTCTATTCTGTTTCTGTGTCTGTTTACTATATCTGAAGGTATGGGCAGTTATTTGAAGACAAGAGGCATCATAGTAACCATTGTTGATTTCCTATTACCTTGTTATGAAATCCTGTGTCACTTACATTGTCTTGTTTTGATTCAGTTTCTCTTTTATTTTGCTCGGTTTTATTCTAAAATAAAATTTAAAAATCGTAGACAAACTCAGTGGTGTGAAATAAGAAAAGGGAAGGGAGGGCCAGGAGAAGATTATCTTTAAGGGTAGGAGAGACGCATTAAAAAATTGCAGAAAGTGAGTAAAGACTACAACCTCAACAGCAAGGCATGTGAAGGTACCAGGGTCACTGAGGGATTCATATCTAGGTCTTTCTATAATCTGTTAACCTTCAGAAAGAAGTAATAAATTAGAAAGGCTTCACCAATCATAAGAGAATTGACAGTGGATTAAATGTGTGTGGGGATGAAAGTAACCATCCAAATTTCACAATCAGTTGACATGGGATCAACTAAAGCCAGGGACAAGTTTGTCATCTCTTTTTAGAGATTTAGATTACATCTTTCTCAAATAATAAAAATTATCAATGGTATAGAAGTAAATCAATCATGATTAAATTGTTGTCTTTTACAGAATCTTGCCACCTTGTGAGACTGTCATGAGTTGGATGCTTCTCAAAGACCTCCTAAGTGGACCAAATAAATATTCAACTAGGATTGCACATATTTGGCTGGCTAGTATATTCATCTTCTGTTTGCTGGTCCTCATAGTAGCTGCACAACACGTGTGGAAGGATGAACAGAAAGAGTTTATTTGCAACATTAGACAGCCTGGTTGTGAAAATGTGTGTTTTGATTACTTCTTCCCATTTCCCAGGTCAGACTTTGGTCCTTGCAGCTAGTCACAGTCTCCACACCTTCTATCTTAGTGGTTCTTCATGTGGCCTACCAAGAGGGCAGAGGAAACGGGCAAAGAAAGATGCTCTATGTCAGCCCGTGAACCATAGACGGGGCCCTGTGGTACGCTTAGGTGATCAGTCTCATTGTTAAAACTGGTTTTGAAATTGGGTTCCTTATTTTATAAACTGTGTGATGCCTTTAATATTTCTTATCTTATGAAGTGTGAATTGAAACCTTGCCCCTACACTGTGGATTGCTTCATTTCCAAACCCACGGAAAAAACCATTTTTATCTTCTTCTGGGTCATTACTTCATGTTTGTGCATTGTGTTGAATTTCGCTGAACTAAGCTTTTTGGTTCTTAGGTGCTTTATTAAGTGCTATTTCCAAAGAAATTCTAAAACATTCAAGTCCTCAGTGTGTGACTGTCACAATCTCAAGCACATTGAATGTGGTGAGATAGGGGATCCTCAACTACTCCAGAATCATGGACATAAATATACTCCAGAAACCTGAAGCAAAGCTACTTTGCAACACATAAGAGAACTAAAAAAGAAAATTTGCACCTTTGCTTAGCAAGGGCTAAACAGGATTTATTGTGTGTAGGGTTCTATTATGTGATATATAAGTTATTTTTTGATGACTTACAAATTAAATACAATTAGCAGCATTCTTTCAAGAGTTTAGTACTGTTAGAAAAAATTCTTATCATCTTGTATTTTTTGTAACTATCTCAGTACAATTCATGCCAGTGCACACAATAAAAAATGATCCTTCTGAGCTGGGATTTAACTCAGTAGCATAAATACCTGCCTGGCAAGTGCAAGGTCATGAGTTTGATCCCCAGTATCAAAAAGAAAAAAAATGACCCTCTGATAAATATGGTGACCTCCAAATTGCCGTGGAGGCCATGGTAATCCTTCCAAAGGAGCATGCAAGGCTGTTTGCATGTAATCCTACTCAGTCTTTGTAGAGAAACATTATGATATAGCAGCTATCTGGGGGCACAGAGGACACACAGTGAGAAAGCTGGACTTTCAGAAAAGACTCAAGACTTCAGACTGCAGTTTAGGTGTTAGTGGGCATAAGTGGACACAGAGAAAGGTAAGACATTCATCACTTAGATGGTCTCCAAGTTAAAATCAAATACTACTGGGAGATACACTCCTTAAGCCTGAACCATCAGCTAGAGTCATGAAGGAAGAGAGGTCCTACAGAAAGTAGCATGTTGACAGAGACCAGAGGAGACCACAGAAAAAAGAACATGACCACTTTAATAATCAGTTAGTGCTTCTTTCACAATGAAAACACTGAAATACTTTGTAAGTTTTCATATTGCTGGATCTTTTATAATCAGAAACTCACAATGTATTAGAAATACAACATAATTTTCCTACAATACCAGGCATTATACTCTCTCTCTCTCTAGTACACAAAATGTGTATTATGTGTTACAACAGAGCAAATAATTTTTTTAAAGTTTACTATCACTTGTTTTAAAAACTAACTTTCTTTCACTTTTTTATTTTAAAAAACCCCTTACAATGCCTCTTTGGATTTATAAGTGTTTCTCTTTTTCTACTCTATAAAGAGAAGAAACTGAAAGATAAAGACGATGGCAATGGAAAAAACTATGTTTAAATAGGTGCGACATTTCTACTCTAAGCTTCTCGATATTACCTTAACTGACCAAATCAGCTTCCTGTAAGAACAGTGTGAAAGCTGTCCCATTGTCAGTAAAGCACCCAAATATTTGATTAAAATAAACTGTCAGTTGATTTATATCATCTTATCAATAAGTTAGTATTCATTAACTACCAGGGTACATGACACTGTGCTACGCACTTTCTGAGGTATAACACGTGATACCTGATCAAGAAAATATCCACTTCTACTAAAAAGCATGGAGGTGAAGAGAGGGTGACCTGGGTGTCTTGAAAGCTTAGCAGTTGCCCTCTCAATCTTTCTGATCTTACCCTGATCACAAGATTTCTTCTAATAGAACCTGATGAGAAAATTTTTTCCAGTGCCTTTACAAAAAGAATGTCCACCACTGTAAGTGGCATGATTCCAGTTTTCCTGAGGAAATGAAGCCAATGCAGAAAGACAAGATGAGAAAGGAATCAGGGAGGGTGAAGCAAAGACTTAAGATATTTCAATTCTTTAATCCTGTGGACTCCAAGCCTGGCTCCATCCCTACCCTTTATCTATAAGATAAATTTCTTTCTGCTTAAGCTGATTCAAGTCAGATTTTTCTGTCTTCCAGCAGTCATCCCTATTAAAACCTCTCTTCTTCATAAATTTCATTCTTTTATCATAGAAAAAAGGAGTAAAACACATCTCTTGTATCCATCCTTTCTAACTAAATAATTTTTACTTGTCTATGATGGCTAATCTTGTCATCTGACTAGGTCAAAAAATGCCTAGGAAATTAGTGAAGCAAACTTGTAAGTCTGTCTCTGAGGGCACTTGCAGAGCTGACTGCCTTGTGGAACAGTAAACTAAAAGGGAGAAACACCTTGAACATAGATAGCACCATCCACTAGCACTGGGATTGGGATGAAACAGAAGGAAGCCCGCCAACACAGGCTTGTGCCCCCCTCTCACCCACTTTCTGGCTGCCACAAGGTAAATAGCGTTTCTCTGTCACGCTCTTCTATGATGATGTTTCTGCCTCACCACCTCAAAACAATGAAAGCAACCAACCACAGACTGAAACCTCAGTAACTATAAGCCAAAATAGATCTATTCTTAAATTGTTCATGTTAGATATTTTGTCACAGCAATAAAAAGCTAACACGCTGTAGGTATATCTACATTTATACAATAGAAAGTTGTGGAAAGACCTCAATACAGGTTACAATAAGAGGAGAGGAAAATTTTCCTTTGTTTCACATGCTACTTACAGTCTTAAAATTTTGATAATTTAAAAGCCCAGTGTCCTATTTTTCATGATACCTTATGTTCCATCTCATACATGTAATGTTTCACTAAAATATCAATTACAATGATCCTTTTTGTTTGGCTAAAAGTGCACAAAACACAAAAGATATCTGGCATGTACAGCTTTTTAAAAAATTGGTAAGGAAAGAAATGGTGGAACATGTAGAGACAAAACAATGTCAGCATTCCGTCGAATTTCTATGACAAAAACCTGAAGGAGGTGTTCGGGGAGAGGCATACCACTAAGGAATTATCATACCATTAATAAGGAAGTATCATATCATATAATTATCATCCCTAAATGTCTATGTTTTATCTGCTCTTGTCATGGCAAGACTAGTCTTACCTGATATAAGTCATTGTCTATTTCTTTTACTTACAGTCAAAATCAATTTCTGATTTCTTTCCCATTAGTGACAAGGGTGAAGACACAGAAAGGATTCTTGTATTTAATGAAAACATAAGAAATGGCTACTATGTTGAATGACAAAGTGAAGCTAGATGACATGGAATAAGCAACCATTTTATACCAATCATTTTAATAAGACCAGGACTGATATTATTTCATAATATAATGTCCTTGGAGGTTAGCTTCCTGTAATTTATGATAAGCAAAGTACAGCATGAAACTATTTTTTAAAAAGGCTAGTTTAAACCTGCATCTATTTGTTTCCAGACTATAGGAAATTACATTCCCAATGCTTAAAAGACAAATAGCTTATCTGCTGTTCCAAAGTTGCAGTGGAGGAAAATGAGGACCAATGTTTGAAAATCAAAACAAAAATAAAGTTTTTAAATCCTTATACAGGAACATTCTTTTAATTTGAACTGCTTCAATGAAATGATCACCAAATAAAGTAGTGACATACTTAACACTGAAAGGAATGTTGAATATCTCTGGATTGTATAGCTAGATAATTTCTAAGTTTCCTTTAAGACTATGGTTATAAGCACCTACAGTGTATAGTAAGCAATGGTAAAATGAGGTTTTGTATTGACTATATCACTACATTAACCCAAGTCCATATAAAAATATTTAATAAAAATACCCTTAAAGAACAAATTTCAGATACAAAATATCTCATTATAATAAACAATTTAGGCAGTTCCATAGAACCAGTTTTAATAAGATTTATGTTCTTTAAAATGATTTCATTTTTTTCTCTATCTCAAATTGTTTCAATGTTTGAATCAAATACTTAAGCCAGAGAGCAAAATGTAATGTAAAATGGGAAAAGTAGTGTCTATGGAATAGAAATAGCACACAGATTAAATGACTCTTGCAAAATAATAACATAGAGAGGTTATTAAGAATGTTTCGCATGGCCTCCTTCCATGGCCCCCTTCCATGGGTTGGAGGAAACATGGGTCTTGCCTCTCCTCCTCCCTGCATGGATCTAGGGGTTGGTAGATGTCAGCCTTGCCCCTCTTCCTTCCTCCACAGACCTAGGGGTTCACAGACATTGGCCTCGCCTCTCTTCCTCCCTCCACAGACCCAGGGATAGGTGAATGTCTGCCTTGCCCTGTCTCCTCTCTCCATAGACCCACGGGTTGGCGGGATTGTCAGTCACCCTTCCCCACCACCCAAAAGACCACAACTGCCCACAGACAACTAGCAACTCTTTCACCACCTGCAGAACCCTGGTGGGCTGGTGGGAGCCTCAGCAACCTCTCACCCACACAGAGGACATCAATGGGTTTGCGACAGTGTGCTGAATTTACCCCCTCAAATAGAGGACCTCAGTGAGTTAAAAGAAGCAGCAGTGAACTCCTCACCAGCTATAAGACTTTGGTGAGTCCTTCTTCCACACAGAGAACATCAGGTAGGTTGAGGATAGTGCTGACAAGGCCTCCCCCAACTTAGGGGTATCAAAAGGGCCTGAGACACCCAGTGATGCAGTAGGTTCCCAGCTGAAGTGCACATGTAGCCAGGTAGATCTGGGAGCTGGAATAGCCTGAAATTGTAGCAACAATAGGAATTAAAGGTGGACTTATATCAATCCTCCTAGGATAGTCAGCCTAGAAAAAATGCAGGACTCACCCAACAGGCCCTACAGGTGGAATTCAGGTAACTGGCACCTCTCCTTCATTTTGGGACCCAGCACTTGGACAACCATCAACCACAAAGTAGGACCCTAAGACACACATAATGGACAGTTGAGACTAGTGGGATTTAAAAGACCAAAATATTAATCCAAGAGGTAAACATGACAAAGCAAAAAAGCAAAATGCAATCTCAAATGTCCAGTCCTTTAGGAACAAGTACAAGAGACACCAAAATAGAGGGCATTAGAAGTCATACACCTGAAATTCTGAAAAGATAAAAAGTGAAACAAAGAAACAAATTCATGAGGCTATAGAGGAAATCAGATTAGAAATAATCTCTCAGGTAAAGAAAGAAATGACAGCCTTAATAAAGAAGTTGCTCAGCATAGCCAGAGAAGATATAGATTTTTAAAAAGTACAGGAGCATGGGAAGATAATGGAAACCTTGAATGAACAATATAATAGAATGCATGAAACAAATTCAAAGAGATATCTAGGAGATAAAAATTCTATTGAAAGCTGAGAAA